CGCCTGGGTGGCTCAGTGGGTTAAAGCCTCTGCCTTCAGCTCAGGTCATGATCCCAGGGTCCTGGGATCGAGTCCCCATCGGTGGGCGCTCTGCTCAGCAGGGAGCCTGCTTCCTCCTCTCTCTCTGCCTGCTTCTCTGCCTATTTGTGATCTCTGTCTGTCAAATAAATAAATAAAATCTTAAAAAAACAAACAAACTGAAGAGACACATACACGAAGAACTTGCAGCCCCACTCCTAGACTCAGGAGAGTCTCATACACATGTGTGCCTGGAAATGCCTGGGAGATTGTCCAAAAACCAGGCAGAGCCCAGACTTCCTTCAAAGGTTGAATGTTTGGATAGGTTGTGATATCATTCACACAAGGAAAAACTTGACAGCAGGGGGAAATGAATGTATTGCAGCCACACACAACAACTTGAATGAATCCCAAAAATATAATGTTGAGCAAAAGAAAATAGAACATAGAAGGTAGAGATGCAGTATGATTCAATTTACATTGAGTTAAAACAAACAAACCTAAATTCTATTATTTTTAATTTTTTTTAAGATTATATTTATTTATTTGACAGAGATGATGAGAGAGGGAGCACAAGCAGGGGGAGTGGGAGAGGGAGAAGCAGGCTCCCCACTGAGCAGGGAGCCCGACATGAAGCTCGATCCCAGGACCCTGGGATCAGGACCTGAGCTGAAGGCAGATGCTTAATGACCGAGCCACTGTGGTGCCCCGTAAGTTCTAACTATTTGGAATGGATACATAGGTGGGAAAACTCCCAAGAAAAGCAAGGAAATGGTTATTACAAAAAAAACTGGATTCTAGTTCTTTCATTCAATCCATCTTGACTGAACACCTACAATGTGTTCTGTTGTAGGCACGGGAGCAACAATGAATCGGACAAGCAAAGATGTTCAGCCTTGCTTAGCTCACATTTTATCCGGGAAACAGCAGTAAACAAGGACAAAGAGGTTGCAGTTGTTGGTTTTTTTGTTTGTTTGTTTGTTTATAAGATTTTATTTATTTATTTGACAGACAGAGATCACAAGTAGGCAGAGAGGCAGGCAGAGAGAGAGAGGAGGAAGCAGGCTGCCTGCCAAGCAGAGAGCCCGATACAGAACTCAATCCCAGGACCCTGAGATCATGACCTGAGCCTAAGGCAGAGGTTTAACACATAGAGCCACCCAGGTGCCTGAGGTTGCAGTTTAAATAGGGTGGTTGGGGGAAGCCTCATTACAGAGGAGAAATTTGAATACAGGAAGGAGGGGAGAGGGTCAGTTAAGTAGCCAGGTGGGAGCAGTCCAGACCCAATTTCAAGCCATTTGGGGCTGCGAGAACACCCAGAGTGAAGGCCCTAGGAGGAGCATGTCTGTTATTTTCCTGTTCAAGGGAGAGTTAAGAGGCCAGGTGGCCAGAGCACAGGGAGTGATGAGGAGAGTAGCTTTTATTCTGTGTGAAACTGTAGGGTTTTGAACTGTAGGGTTTTGAACATAAAAATGACAGGATCTGACTTGTATTTTAAAAGGAATATTTTTGAAAATAGGGCAATTTTATTTTTTTTGACATCTTTTTTTTAAAAAGATATTTATTTATTTATTTGACACAGAGAGAGATCACAAGTAGGCAGAGAGGCAGGCAGAGAGAGAGGGAGAAGCAGGCTCCCTGCCGAGCAGAGAGACTGATGTGGGGCTCGATCCCAGCACCCCGAGACCACGACCTGAGCCGAAGGCAGAGGCTCAACCCACTGAGCCACCCAGGTACCCTTTCTTTCTTTCTTTCTTTTTTTTTTTTTTAAGTAAGCTCTACACCCAACACGGGGCTTAGACTCATGACCCAAGATCAAGAGTCACATACTTTACCCACTCAGCCAGCCAGGTGCCTCTTTAAAGGAATACTCTAACTGCTGTGCTGAGAAGGAAGGAGCCAAGGGTAGAACAGAGAATTAGGAAGATATTACAGTAATCCTGGAGGGAGCCAGTGAGGGCTCAGACCAGGGCAGTAACCAGGAAGGTGGTGGTTACATGGAGAGCGGGTAGTGCAGGGATGAGGTTGTGATTGGGAAGGAGTCTCACAGGGAGCCCTGGTTGGTAATGTTTCTTGACTTACCTGTGAGATGATTGCATGGCTGTTCATTGTATAGTTATTTAATAAACTGTATATGTAAATTTCATATATGTTCTTGCACCTATGTTATATTTCACAGTAGAAGGAAATATAAAGAAAAAAAGGGAGATATAAAGAGGTAACGTAAGGAACCCAGCTAATAAATGGCTGGAACAGGTTGGGAACAAATTCCAGGCCTTTTTACCCTAACCGATCCAACCTAGGCCTGGGCCCCAGCCCGGTTTACCTATTTCCCGGTGATGCGGTTTTGGGAAAGCCCTGCCACTTCTTTCAGCCTCATTGTTTCATCTAAGAAACCAGGAAAATAGTGTGTGGCTTCATCCATCATCAGGATTCTGTCAAGATCACAAAGAGTTCTGTAATCTATCAAAAAAAACCACACAGTATTATTGCTATGTAACTGTATTTATTTATTTTTGAGAGAGAAATAGTATGAGAGAACAAACAGGTGGAGGGGCAGAGGGAGAGAGAATCTCAAGCAGACTCCCTGCTGAGGGCAGAGCCGACACAGGCTGGATGTCACAACCCCGAGATCTTGACCTGAGCTGAAATCAAGTCAGGAGCTTAACCAACTGAGCTACCTTGATGTCCCTTAACTGTGCTTTTTTTTTTTTTTTTTTTTTGGTAACAGCTTTACTGGTGCTTAATTGATGTACAATAAACTGTACACAATGTGTACAACTTGATGAGTTTTAACACTGGTATACATCGTGAAAACATTGCTACAGTCAAGGTAATGCATATATCCTTCACCCCCCACCCCCCAAATCCTCTCGTACTCCTTTGTATTCTATCCTTCCCTGCCCTACTTCTATACTCCTAGGAGGCACTGTTTTGTTTTTGGTTGATTAAGTATGTATTTATAGAATTGTATATTTTTAAATTTTTTAAACTAATATTATTTTAAAGTTTTTTAAAAAATTTACTTATTTGAGAGAAAGAGAGCAGAGCAAGAGAGAGAACACTAGTGAGGGGCAGGGGCAGAAGGAGAGGGAGAAGTATGCTCCCCACCAAGCAGGGAGCCTTATGCGGGGCTCAATGGATCATGACCTGAGCTGAAGGCGGACACTCATTCCACTGAGCCACCCAGGTGCCCATCAGCTTGTCAATTATTTAAAAACATTTTTTTAAATTGAGATTGAATTAAACCTATAGATTTCCTCTTCGCAGGAGGATTTTCCAAATAACTGCTGGTCACTTCGGCAATGTGTTCAACTCACCCATGTGCCCATCTTAATAACATAGAACAGGATGAGTTTCACTCCAGTGCATAGGGCTGCAGCTCCTTACACACCACTGGCCTTTGTTTACCTCCTTCCCTACTTAGGTCTCTTGGGCACCATTCCTACTCACCCTCGGCTCAAATGTGACCTCTTCTGTAAATCTGTCTCTAATCCAGCACAGCTCCTGACAGAGTTTTTCACTCATCTGTTCTCATCTCCTTCATAGGCACACAGAACTTTGAATAACTCAACATCACTTTGGGAAGTCATTATTGTCTATGCATCTTCCTCCCTGACTAGACCAGACTCTTCCAAGGAAGAAACCATATTATTATTGTTTTTTTTTATCTTGGCATTAAAGGCATTCTTTTCTTTAACTTTTTTTTAAAGATTTTATTTATTTATTTGACAGAGAGAGATCACAAGTAGACCGAGAGGTAGGCAGAGAGAGAGAGAGAGAGGGAAGCAGGCTCCCTGCTGAGCAAAGAGCCGGATGCGGGACTCGATCCCAGGATCCTGAAATCATGACCTGAGCCAAAGGCAGCTGCTTAACCCACTGAGCCACCCAGGCGCCCCGAAAGGCATTCTTTTCTTAATTACACTTTTATTTTGAAATAATTATACATTCATAGTCAGTTGTAAGAAATAATAGAAAGGGAGTGCCTGGGTGGCTCAGTCATTAAGCATTTGCCTTGGGCTCAAGTCGTGATCCTGGGGTCCTGGGATGGAGACCCTCATCTGGCTCTTTGCTCCGCGGGAAGCCTGCTTCTCCCTCTCCCACTCCCCCTGCTTGTGTCCTCTCCCTCTCTCTCTGTAATAAATAAATAAAATCTTAAAAAAATAAATAAAAATATCCCATGTACCCTTTCCCCGGTTCCTCTAAAAATGGTAACATCCTGAAAAACTCGAGTACAAGAACAACAGAAAACAGACGCTGATACCATCCACTGATCTTACTCAGATTTCTCCAGCCTTACATGTAATCATTGGTGTGTACGTGTATAGAGTTAAGACCATCTCTTAACTATTTAAACGTTAACAATGATTTATTTAGCTTCTACTATGTGCCAGACGGTTGAATTCTGGAAACACAAGGTTATGACAGGGTTCCTGCCTTAATGGAGGTCACGATCTCACTGGCTTTGGAAATTGATGTTTTTTTTAAAAGTAATGTCGCAAAGGCAGGGTGTTCGCAGGAACCTAGCAGAATCTAGTCTACCTTTTTGACCTAAGAGAGTGAGGGAATAGAAAGACACGTGAGGAGAGGCCTTGATCAGAGCCTACCACTAGCAGGTGCTCAGTAAACGTGTTAAATTAAGGTTGAACCCAACGTTGTATTCATGATATCCTTTGCAAATCCTCACATCCTGAATGTGGCGGTACAAGGTGCACATGTCCTTGCCACGTATGCCTTATCCCTATTTGGAATTCTGCCCTCAATCCTCTTCCAACCTTTACTGGCTATAAATTCTGGACACCAGGCACGACTCTCGGGACAAAAACAACCGAGCGCGCAAGAACAAACACCTCCCAGTGCAGCCTCTAGGCAGTCAACCGCCACGCGCACTTCACGCCCTCGCCCGCGCCCTACTGGGCCGGCGCATGCGCACGCTGGCGGCGGATGTACCGCGGCCTCCCGCCCGGGGGGGACTAGGAGAGCGAGGGGAGGGGCCGGAAGCAACTCTATGCTTCCCGGTTGCTAAGAGACGAGGCTTCCACAAGGCGACGGAGGTTCTCCGGCTTCTTTTCCTCCCTTTTTCTGCTTCAGCGTCACCGAATCCGGCCACCATGTCGGACCCAGAAGCTGACATCTTGCGAAGCACCTTTCCCTCTTATATGGCGGAGGGCGAGCGGCTGTATCTGTGCGGAGAGTTCTCTAAAGCCGCCCATAGCTTCAGCAACGTGAGTCGTGAGTCGGGCTCTGAACCTACCAATTACCCATCACGTCTGATTCCTGATAACACCGAGGTCCCCATGGTACCCGGAGGACCCTGTTGTTTCTCTTATTCATTTGTTCCTGACTGACGCTCTACTGTCAACTACTGTCACTGCCTCGTCATTTTCTACCATTTCCCACTTGACTTCTGCCTGTGAATAACCGTTCGCTGCATTAAGAGTGGCTTCTCCTTTTTTACTGGACTGTTGTGTGACTGGCCTCTTCCCACAGAGCAGCCGCAATTTTCCATCCTTGGCTGGGGAATGGGCTTGGAGGCTGCGTGGACAAGCAGTGAAATCTCAAGCACACAGCTGCTCACAGAAGAGGGCCAGTACATAACATTATTGTATATAATCTTAGTACCAATTGCTCAGCCCCACCCTATGGGGATTGGGTGCTGTTTTAGGATATTAGGCACTAATATCCAAGATATTAGACAACCCTATGAGGGAGGTTCTGTTATTACTCCATTTTATAGATGAGGAAAGTGATAGAGAACTTGAGCACATGGCTGAGATCACTGAACTGGCAAGAGAAAGTTTTCAAACCCAGGCACTCAGATTCCAGTGCTGAGGTGCTAACCATCATACATACTCCCTCACAAGTAAGCTATTTGATGTTCTTTTTTTTAAAAAGATTTTATTTATTTATTTTAGAGAAAGAGAGAGATAGAGTGTGCACTGGGGCTGGGGGGGGGAGTGGAGGAGGGGCAGAGGGAGAATCCATTCCAAGCAGACTCCATCCTGAGCGGGGAGTCCCACTCAGGGCTGGATCTCAAGACCCTGAGATCACGACCTGGGCTGAAATCAAGAGTCCGGTCGCTCAACCAACTGTGCCACGCAGGCGCCCCAAGCAATTACCTCTTCTTACCACAATGTCTTTTACAATGTATAGCCTACTTCTTAATCAAGAGGGAGTGGTAGGATAGCCCTCTAACCATTCCCAGCACTCCTGCTAAAGTCAAGCTTTTCCACTGCTACCCAGAGTCTTGTGTCCCTTTCAATCACCAATCACACCCTAAAACCAGATTGGTTGGCCCGATGGGTCAACAGCTGAGTTCAGGAGCCCTGCCCCCACCCATTCTCCTCCTTCAGGCAGAGAGAAAAGAACACCCGGAGGGAAAATAGCTTTGGTGAGAGAAGTAGACTTCTTCCACAAAAGCCAGTAGCTACTTCCTGTTTCTGGAAAAGTAGAAAGGTCTTAGAAAGGTGTGGGTACAGTATGATGCCTCAGGAATGACAGTACATCACAGCTCCATTGATGATTTTCTTTTCTTTTCTTTTTTAAAATTTTTATTTATTTATTTGACAGAGAGAAAGAGAGCACAAGCAGGGGGAGCAGGAAAGAGAGAAGCAGGCTCCCCACTGAACAGGGAGCCAGACAGGACCTTGGTTGGGATCATGATCCGAGCCAAAGGCAGCCGCTTAACCAACTGAGCCACCCAGGCACCCCTTTTCTTTTCTTTTCTTTTCTTTTTTTTTTAAAGAATTATTTATTTACTTATTTTGAGAGAGAGAGAGTGTGTGTGCGCTCATGTGGAGGAAGGGTCAGAGAGAACAGGAGAAGGAGAGAAGCAGACTCCCCACTAAAAGCAGAGCCCTACCTGGGGCTTGATCTCTCAACCCTGAGATCATAACCTTAGCCAAAATCAAGAGGCAGTCGCCCAACTGACTGAGCCACCCCGATGCCCCTCCAGGGATGATTTCAAACAGAAGAGTGGACACAGGGACCAGGAGAAGTGTTCCATTCCCACTTTACTACCCAAATCGCAGTTTCAGTTTTGCTAGCATTTTCATCTTGATCTCCTGAAATATGATTCATTCACAACAAGCTAGGTAAGAAAGAGAGAGTTAGGGGAATGGATGACTCAAGTTGCAGATGTCCTAAAACCATTTCGTTAGCCTTCAGAATGCTTAGCCTCTAAAATGTATTTTGAGTGTTGTGCAGCCATTTGGGGTTTGTGGTTGAATTGGGTATGCGCTAAAAATCCTAAGCTTCTGTTGCCTGAGTGGACTGGAGGAATCCCTGACATTTGAGAAATTCAGTATATCCACCGCGTGGTACATTCACACGTCTCCACCAGGGGCTTTCACAGTAGCCAGTGATTTGACCTTGTTCGAGATGAGCTACAGGCAGACAGTCAGTGGACTGAGCGAAGATCAGTGTCGTGCTGCTTTTGGTTTGGAAAGTTCCAGAGACCTGTTTGCTGGTCTGAGGAATCCCCTTGAAATGCTGGCTGCGGGGCGGGGGGGAGGCTCTTTCCCGTCAAGCTTCTGCGTTGTGCTGCCTGATGCCTGTCAACCTGGGTGGTTCCTTTCTTAGGCTCTTCACCTTCAGAATGGAGATAAGAATGGCCTGGTTGCCCGATCCAAGTGCTTCCTGAAGATGGGAGAGCTGGAGAAGTCCCTGAAGGATGCTGAGGCTTCACTCCAGGGTGACCCGACTTTCTGTAAGGTGACTCAATCTGACTTTGCCTGTGGCAGCCTCTGATGAGAAGAAGTTGAGGAACCAGCCAGACTGCCTAGGGTTTGATACCTTTTTCTCTCCCTAGGTCACTTACCTAGCTATACCTGCCCCTGTATCCCAACCTTGATCCTCAACCCAGGACCCTCTGCTCCTCCACACTTAAGTCCTATAAGGCATTTTCTGCCACCTCAATTTGATTTCCTCTCATTTCAGGGAATTTTACAAAAGGCTGAGACCCTGTACACCATGGGAGACTTTGAGTTTGCCTTGGTGTTCTATCATCGAGGCTACAAGCTGCGGCCTGACCGAGAATTCAAAGTTGGAATTCAGAAAGCCCAGGAAGCCATCAACAACTCAGTGGGAAGTGAGTGACCATGGGACCTATACCGTTATCCTGGGAGGCTCTTGGAATCCTTGGGCTTGGAAGTACAATGAGTGAGCAGCCACCACAAGGCCTGGAGGGAGTCTCATGCTTGGATTTGGTTGCTGCTCATTTTGTTGAAGATTAGGAACTAATGTGTCCACCCAGAGGACTAGCCATTGATCCACGATGCTCAGCTCTGCAACTTCTGGTTGTCCTCTAAGCCAGATGCAAAATCTGTTCACATTAGGCCTGTCTTTGGCCTGGTTTTGTAGGGTAGAATGGGGTCCTGAGCCTAGCCTTCCCTAGTTCCTGGCTGCTTCTCTTACCACGAACAAACGAACCAAGGACTGGCCTTACCCATTGGCTTAGTGGCAAGGGGGAGGAGGGAGGAGAGCAAGAGTTTGCCACTGTGGCTGGCAGAGTGTGGAAATTGCTGGGGATGGAGAGCTCCCTCAGTGCTCAGGGACTGCCTTTGTTTGGAAATCTGGCTGCCTCGGCCTTAGGCTAGGAGGGGCTGCCTAGCTCTTCGGAGAGTGTTATTCCAAACATCCTCTACCATCAACCTGCTGGGCTACCTCAGAACCAGCTTTGCCACAACCTCTACCACTTCCTGCCAAAGGCAGCCATTTCTACATAAAAATATGTGATAGGTCATGCTTGAGGGCCTGGCACACCTGAGCCCAGCCTCTTTCCTTACAGGTCCTTCTTCAGTTAAGCTAGAGAACAAAGGGGATCTATCCTTCTTAAGCAAGCAAGCTGAGGTAAGGGCTTTGGTTCCGATGTCACATCCCTCCCAAGGAAGTGCCCACATGTGCCGGAGGTCTCTGTGGCCCTCTAACCTGGGGGCAGTCCGCTCCATCATGGGCAGCTGTGGGATTCTGCCCCAGCTCCAGGGGGGTCTTGGGAATGTAGCTGTTCCCAGACCAGACCACTCCATGGTTCTTGACCCACAGAGAGGTCCTGGAGGAGATGTCTGGGATCGCAGAGTCTGGGACTATGTCCAGGTACTCGGTGCTCCTTGTTGAGGCTCTACTGGGTATTGCTCCATCTTTCCAGAGTATAAAAGCCCAGCAGAAGCCTCATCCCGTGAGACAACTCGTACATCACCCCGAGAGGGAGTCCAAGAGGAAGGGCTCACTCAAGAGTGAGAAGATTGTCCGCCAGCTCCTGGGTGAGCTCTACGTGGACAAGGAGTATCTGGAGAAGCTCCTACTGGATGAAGGTTTCAGATACTTTGTTTGCAAAGGGAACTTGGGGCAAAAGAAATCCTGGGCAGGTGCTTAATACATGAGCTGAGAGAGAGCCTGTCATGTAACAATAGTTTATGGACAGAATTTCCTAGTATTCTTGTTTATAGGTGAGGAAACTCAGGTGCAGAAAGATTAAGTAACTCACCGAGAAAGTTACATATTGGTAAATGGTGACATGGCTCTTGGGTTTGAATCTAGGATGCCCAATTTCAGAACCAGTGCCGTTAGCACTATGGTACCCCTGGGAGGGAACCCTAGAGATTGGGGTTCCTTTGTCACCTGGGTCCCTGGAGGGGTATCCCCTGAGCCTTCAATTTGTAGAAAGGGCAAAGGAATCCGGCTCAGATGTGCTAGGAGGGGGATCCTACGATAGTAGTACTAGAATGTTCCAAAATCTCATCTGGTCTACTCCCTCCTTTTATAGATAAGGAAAGAGAGACCCTGAATGGGGAGCAACTTGTCCAAGATGACAAGCAAGTTCATGGTGAAGTCGACCCCAGAGGCTGGCCTCCTAACCTCCAGTCTAACGCTCTTTCCACTATACCGTGCTGGCAGTGACAGGAAGTAGGGCAGAGCCTTGAAATGAAATGGGAGGGTGGGAGTATTGCCATTAGCTCCTAAGCCTGAGCAGGGATCATCCTTGAGTCAAATGCCTTTTCTCCAGAACTGCCTTCCCGAGGCTATCTGCAGGGTTCCCCACAGGTCTGTGTCTCAGGAGCCCGAAGCACTTCTCGATCAGCGGTCTGAACACTTTCCTCCGGAGGAGCTTCTGTGGAGAAGGGGGTGGCCTGAAAATTACCCCAAAAGGCCTTGCCATTTTGCTACCAGCTCTAACCTCTGTGGTCAGGCAGGCAGCACACCCTCCAGCTCCCTGCCAGCCCTGGCCCACTTGGCACCCGGGCAATCCCTTGGCACTGGCAACCGGGGCCAGGTTGTGCATTCATACTCAGTCTCCTCAGAGGACACAACTTGAAATAAGGGGGCCCGAGGGCTGTGGTCCTTTCAGACAGCTATCTGCCAGCTGCCCCTTCCACTAGCTCCTTGTATCTTGCCATAAGAGGCCTGTGTACAAAGTTCTACACCATGGGAATGCCTGAAAGAGGGGATCTGGCCTCACCTAGGTCCACGTAGAGCCACTCTGCTACCTACGTGCTCTTGCTTTCCCCAGCTCCGAGCAGTACTCCCCACTGGGGACCTCACAATAGGAATCCCCAGGCAAGAGGAGGCGGCTCCCTCAGACGCTGGTTCTAGTCACTTCCTCCTCACACCATTTTTCCCAGACCTGATCAAGGGCACCATCAAGCATGGCCTGACCGTGGAGGACCTCATCATGACAGGCATCAACTACCTGGACACTCGCAGTAACTTCTGGAGGCAGCAGAAGCCCATCTATGCCAGGGAGCGGGACCGGAAGCTGATGCAAGAGAAGTGGCTGCGGGACCGCAAACGCCGTCCCTCACAGACAGCCCATTACATCCTCAAGAGCCTCGAGGACATAGACATGTGTGGGTGCTGTTCTCAGAAGGGCGAGACCTTTGCCCGGTGGTGGGAGAGCAACACAGAGGCCTGAGGTTCTGTTGGCCTGCAGATCAGATCTGGGGGGAGGCAGGTCTTCCCGTCAGCCTGAGGAGACTGCTGCCACCTCCATGTCCCCCGTTTCCCTTCCCAGTGCTGACCAGCGGCAGTGCTGACGGTAGCCTTCAGAAAGCGGAGAAAGTACTGAAGAAAGTGCTCGAATGGAACAAAGAGGAGGTGCCCAACAAGGACGAACTGGTTGGAAGCTTGTACAGCTGCATAGGGAATGCCCAAATCGAGCTGGGGCAGATGGTCGCAGCCCTGCAGAGCCACAGAAAGGATTTGGAGATCGCCAAGGAATAGTGAGTGCCCGGGGCAGGCCGAGCGGTGGGGCCCTTCAGAGCGCAGGGCAGAGGTTGCACACGAGCCTTTTGCCGGGGCTGCTGGTGGGTGAGCTCCCAGGACTGAGGTGAAGAGGCAGACCTAGATTGTCAGCGTTTTTTTTTTTTTTCCCAAGATTTTATTTATTTATTTGATAGAGAGACAGAGGTCACAAGTAGGCAGAGAGGCAGGCAGAGAAAGACAGGGGGAAGCAGGCTCCCTGCCGAGCAGAGAGCCTGACGTGGGGCTCGATCCCAGCACCCTGAGATCATGACCTGAGCCGAAGGCAGAGGCTTAACCCATTGAACCACCCAGGCACCCAAGCTTTTTTTGCCACAAAGAGGAAGGCAGTGGCTTAGAACGCTAAAAAGCTCCCAGAGGTTTGATTCTGAGGGGACAGGTCCTTTCTTAAATCATCTCAACAAGCACACATCAATCCCAGACCTGCCAGCCGCTGCCAGCCTTGGGAATGCCACAGGGACCAGATAAAAGGGTCATCTCTCTGCAGATGTAAAACAGAAAGTGACATAGCTAAAGACAGTAATCGTGGGCAGTGTCACAGAGGACATGTAGGGGACGCAGGGCTAGGAGAAGTGCATTCCAGGAGGATTTCACTGGGCACTGGGGAACGCACTCAGTCTGCGGGAGGGCCCTGAAGCAGGCAGGAGGAAGCTCAAAGCCAGAAAGCACAGAGTAGTGCCAGGGGAAGAGTGGCCAAGGGGAAGCCAGGCCAGATGGCAGGGGGCAGATCAAGCAGGGCCTCAGATACTATGGCGCTGGCTGAGAACCTGGGCTCTGGAGTCAGAGTGAGCCGGGCTTCAGAATTGTACCCTGCAGCCGTGGGACCTTGGGCAAGTCACTTCACCTCTCCCAGCCAGGTCTCTGCTGTCCAGTGGGCATAACAGTCACCCCTTCCTAAGAGGGTGGGAGAGGACAGGCAGAAGTCTGGTAAAGATCTCAGGACGGTGCCAGGTGTCCATAACCATACTAATACCAACCATCAGCTCTTCCCCAGACTTGAGGGTACCTCAAAAGTGCCATCACTTCCTGGGCATCCTGGTTCTAACCTTTGGAGCCCTCCATGACTTTCTCCTGCTCAGTCTCCAGTTGTCCCACAGTCTGAGCCTCTCCCTACCTCCCATCATCCAATTTCCACTCACAGGGCAGGTCTCTGCTCTCCCTGCCTCCAGCTGTTCCCACGTGCGGCCTCCAGAGGCCTGCCTTTCATCCAGCAGTTCTTCCCCTGCTGACACACAGGCCCTGGCCCCTCGTCGCCTGCAGGTTAAAACCACATGCCTTCACCTGGCACTCAAGGCCTTATCTGAACCCGCTTCCACGCAGTCCTCCCACATCACTCCTCCATTTGGGTCAAACCACATTTCTTTTTCTTAAAAGATTTAATTACTTACTTAATTAGAGGGAGAGTGAGCATGAGTTGGGGGGAGAAATAGAAGGGAAAGGAGAGGGAGGGGGAAAGAATCTCAAGCAAACTCCATGCTGAGTGTAGAGCCCGATATGGGGCTCAATCTCATGACCCCAAGATCATGGCCTGAGCTGAAATCAAGAGTCAGATGCTTAATAGACTGAGCCACCCAGGTGCCCTCAAACTGTATTTCTTTCCTTTTTTTTTTAATTTATTTGACAGAGATCACAAGTAGGCAGAGAGGCAGGCAGAGAGAGAGAGGGAAGCAGGCTCCCCGCTGAGCAGAGAGCCCGATGCGGGGCTCGATCCCAGGACCCTGGGATCATGACCTGAGCTGAAGGCAGAGGCTCTAACCCACTAAGCCACCCAGGCACCCCTCAAACTGTATTTCTTAACCACCCCACCCTCTCCTTACTCACCTGAGCCCCACGTGCTATTCATTCCCAGTTCATTTCTCACTGGCCTTTGCCATGCTGAGAAGTATCTGGTATTGGCCATTCCATAGGCAGAAAACAAGCAACAGCTTTGGAGACAAAGCTGACTTTTGATTCCTGGCTTTGGTAGTCGGAAGCTGTGTGGATTTGATTAAGTTGCTTGTCTTCTCGGTTTGCTCGTCTCTAATGAAGGTATATTAATACTGACTCATAGAGATTATGAGGATTAAATAAAATATGTATGCACAGTACCATGGGCCCAACCATCTCCCGTGCCCTTAACACTCACTTATAATCTTAACTTCTCAGCAGACCTCCCTCCTGAGCCCCAGGCCTGCATATCCAACTGATTCCAAGACATTTCCACCTTGGGTGTCCCAAAGGAACCCCACATTTAACATGTCCAAAGTGGAATCCCTTATCTTCCTCCCAAACCTCTTGCTCCAAGGTTCCCTCTCTGTGAGGATGGCACTGTTATTTGTCACTCAGTCCCCAGGAAGGAGCCCAGACAGCTTCCCAGACCCCTCCCTCCATGCTTGTGCCCAGCCAGCCTCCATGTTGTTTGGGCCTCCTCCTTCCTGTCTCCGTGGTGCTTTTCTGTTTCCCTGCCGCAGCTCAGTCCTGACCCTTCTCACTTCTTGCCCGATTTCTCCGACCTGGGTTTCCTGCAGCCCAGCTGGCCCTTCTGTACAGAACCAGTCCAGTGGTAGGACTGGGACAAAGTTCCAGCCCCCAGTTCTGCTCAGTTTAGGCTGCTCTTCCTGATCTGGCTTCTCCTGGCCCCAGTGGACCCAATTCTGTCCAGGCCCCTGGGCATCCTGAGCTCCCCCACCAACACCTTGTGGCTCTGCTCCTACAGCCCCTGAACAGGACTCCCTTCTCTTTCTTCATCAACTCCCCCCTTCCCGTCCTTCACAATTGTAAATGTATCTCCCTTCAGGAAAATTCCAAGTGTCCCCCACATGGTTTAGAAGTCTCCCCCGCCCTTGGTGTTCCCTCTCTGCACTCCATGTGGATCATGGCTCCCCTGTTGGACTATGGATTTTGGAAGGGACTATCTTACATCTCTTTCTCTTCCCAGCACCTTCTGCACAGTAGGTGATTAATGCCTGCCAAGCAGCTAAATAAACGAAGCTGTTCCTCAGACAACATTAGTCCCTTTTTACCACCCACAAGGCCTCCGGTCTTGTTTGTTCAGGCACTCCCTCATTCTAATCAGCCATGCCCCCTATTGGCTCCCCATCTCCAAAGCCTGATGGCCCTCAAGGCACAGATCAAACCCCAGTTTGTCTCAGAAGCATCTCCAGTGGCCCCAGACCTCATTTTCCCCTCCAGATACTCTAGGTGATTTGATTGCATGCTTTCTCATTGCTATTGTTATTTCTTCTCATATAATATGAATAAATTAACATATTACAACTTATTCATTCATTCATCACGCTGTACTTGAGCCCCCATTCTAGAAGGGGGGCCTCCATCAGAGCAGCTGTGGGAGCACCAGGTGCACAGAATGGCCATAGGTCCAGGGAGAGAGGCAGGTGGGAGCACTACTAGGAGCTCAGGGTTCCAGACAGGACAGGTCAGCCAAGGGGACGATGGGGAGGGAGAGGGGCACCCTAGGCAGATAGAAGTGGCAGGGATGAGAGATGCAGGGCACGGGGTCAAGACCTGTGGGGAGTAGCAGTCTGGGTCCCATGCTGGGGAGGACTGAGGACAGAGGAGGAGTCTATTTTCACACAAGTACTAGGGTTAGTGTTGTACTTGGTCTAGAACTCGGGGGCACTGCGATTCAAGCAGAACTTGGATGTCTTCCCCATCCCCACCTTCCACCACCACACACCGCTCATTTACCTGCGACCATGTTGACACGCATCCTTCTGGCCCCTTTTCAATGTATTTACCTACATATTTATGTACCTATGCACATACCTAGGATTCTTTCTTTTTTTTTAAGATTTTATTTATTTATTTGACAGACAGAGATCACAAGTAGACAGAGAGGCAGGCAGAGAGAGAGAGGGGGGTAAGCAGGCTCCCCGCTGAGCAGAGAGCCCAATGTGGGGTTCGATCCCAGGACCCTCAGATCATGACCTGAGCCGAAGGCAGAAGCTTTAACCCACTGAGCCACCCAGGCGCCCCCATACCTAGGATTCTTAAAAGCAATTTATTTTTTTATGATTTTTAAGAAGAATGTGTCTTGGAGAGGGTCTCGTTCTTCAAACGGCTCCAGAGAAAAGGAATTTCAGTGTGCATAGCCATTTCTTCAGCTACATCACTGTGGGACACTCAGACTGTTCCACTTTTGCCATCAAGCACAGCAACATTTGTGTGCGTGCTTCTGTGGGGAGAGGGATGTTTTGATGAGATGTGCATGTTTTAAAAGGCAGCTTTGGCCATGGTTGGGGGAGGATGAGTCCAGGGAGCAAAGTGTCATGGGGGACATAGGAGCCCACTGGCTGCCAGGGCCTTGAGGGACAAAGAGGAGGGAGAGTGGGAGGAGATGCTGGGTGTGCATTGGGGGACATTTTTCTGATTTGTTGGGGAAGAATTTTTTAACAGAACAATGTTCATATGGTAGTAATGGTAAAGAACCCATGTAAGGGGAGCAATTATCTCCTTTTTTAATGAAAATATCTTAATCTCATAGGCACCTGGGTGGCTCAGTTGGTTAAGCATCTGCCTTCCACTCAGGTCATGATCTCAGGGTCCTGGGGAGGAGCTCCACATTGCATTGGGCTCCCTGCTCAGTGGAGAGTCTGCTTTTCTCTCTCCCTCTGCCCCTCCCCCTTCTTGTGCTCTCTCCCCTCTCTCTCTCTCACAAATAAATAAATAAAATCTTTTAAGAAAAAAGAAAATATCTTAATCTCTTTTCTGATGTTACAGAAATACTGTAAACAATTCAAACAATATGGATAAATGGGTAGTTTCCCTCATACTTTCATTTCCCTTGGATAATCACTGTTAATAGCTAGACTTACATCCTCTCTGCTTTAAAAAATGCCCATTTTGGGGCGCTTGGGTAGCTCAGTGGGTTAAGCCTCTGCCTTCGGCTCGGGTCATGATCTCAGGGTCCTGGGATCGAGCCCCACATCAGGCTCTCTGCTCAGTGGGGAGCCTCCTTCCTCCTCTCTCTCTTTGCCCGTGTCTCTGCCTACTTGTGATTTCTCTCTGTCAAATAAATAAATAAAATCTTTTAAAAAAATGCCAATTTGGGGGAGTGCCTGACTGGCTCAGTCAGTGGAGCACATGACTCTTAATCTCGGGATTGGACTTGGAGCCCCACACTGGGGGTAGAGATTGCTTGAAAATAAATTATTTTTAAAAAATGCCCACTTTTTATTCATTCACTTCTTTTTTGGTGAGTTAAAACAAATTCAGTTTTTTAAAAGATTTTGTTTTATTTACTCACTTGAAAAAGAGATAGAGTGAACGAGCAGGGGAAGAAGGGGAAAGAGAGAGAGAGAGACAGAATCCTAAGCAGACTCCATACTGAGCACAGAGTTCAATGCGGGGCTCAGTCTCCCAACCCTGAGATCAGGACCCAGAGATCATGACCTGAGCTGAAACCAAGAGTCTGACGCTTAACTGCCTGTGCCACCCAGACACCCCACATTCATTCTTTTGTAGTTCTGAAGGTTAGAAGTCTGAAGGCATTCTCCCTGGGCCAGAACGAAGGCATTGGCAAGGCCATGCTCCCTGCACAGGCTCCAGGGAGAACCTGTTTCCAGCCTTTTCCACCTTCTAGACTCACACTTGGTTCTATGTGCGCCTCCTGTGTGGCCCCTTCTTCCACTGTCAGGCCAGGAACACAGCATCATGCCTCAAGCCTGCATATTTATTTTTAGCACAGATGGGGCAACAGTCATAGCACACACTCCTATAATCTGACTTTTTCACTGAATGTGTCAGGGACTTTTTTTTTTTTTTAAGATTTTATTTATTTAACAGACAGAGATCACAAGTAGGCAGAGAGGCAGGCAGAGAGAGAGGAGGAAGCAGGCTCCCCGCTGAGCAGAGAGCCCGATACGGGGCTCGATCCCAGGATCCCAGGATCACGACCTGAGCCGAAGGCAGAGGCTTTAACCCACTGAGCCACCCAGGCACCCCTGTCAGGGACTTTTTATACACAAAAAGTGTCAGAGCTGGGGCACCAGTTAAGGTTGTTTCTAAGGTTTATTATTATAAACACTGCTGTAACAAGCGTTCTTGTCACATTATCTTCTCCAGGTAAATTCCTAGAAGGGAAATTGCTGCATCAAAGGGACATGTGTGTAAACTGCTGCGTGATTGATTGTTCTCTGGAAAGGTTCCCGTGGTGTTCATTCATGCCACAGGGCATGAGTGGACTTGTGTGCCCCAGCCCTGCCTCCTGGGCATCATCCCTCCAACTGGACTGGACTTCCGAGTTTCTGAGGCCAGGGCCTCTGTCTGCTTTTCTTCAGTTACCACAGTGCCTAGAATGGCCAGTTTCTTTTTCTTTCTTTCTCTTTTTTCCTCCCTCCCTTCCTTTCTCTCTCTCTCTTTTTTTCTCTCTCCCTCCCTCCCTTCCTTTTTTCCTTCCTCCCTCCCTCCCTCCTCCATCTCTCCCTCTTTTCCTCTCTCTTATTTTCTTAAGTAGGCTCCACACCTAGCATGGAGCCCAACATGGGGCTTGAACTCATGACCCTGAGATCAAGACATGAGCTGAGGGGCACCTGGCTGGCTCTGTTGGTTAAGCATCTGACTCTTGGTTTCAGCTCAGGTCATGATCTTGTGGATTATGGGATTGAGTCCCGTTTCTGGTTCTTTGCTCAGTGGGGACTCTACTTGAAATATTCTCTGCCTCTGCCCCTCCCACCTAAGTAAATAAATAAATCTTTTTTAAAAAATGTATTTATTTGATAGAGAGCAAGAGCGCACAAGTGGGCTAGGGGAGAGAGGCGGAGGGAGAGGGGAAAGAGGACTCCCCACTGAGCAGGGAGCCCAACAACCCTAGGACTCCATCCCAGGACCCTGGGATCATGACCTGAGCTGAAGACAGATGCTTAACCGACTGAGCCACCCAGGTGCCCCTAGGATGGCCAATTGCTAATGAAGAACATATCCTGCTTCTTTGCCACAGTGACCTTCCTGATGCTAAGTCGAGAGCCCTTGACAACATTGGCAGGGTTTTTGCCAGAGTTGGGAAATTCCAGCAAGCCATTGACACGTGAGTGACCTCGGCTGCCCCTTCCCCATCTGACGGCCAGGACCTCCCACCCTCCCACCAGACTCCCAGCCTGGGGCCCGCATGCCAGGCAAACAGAAGACCTGAGTTTAGCTCCTGGCTCTGCTGGGTGACCATGGGCAAACCCCTTTGTCAACTCTGAGGCTCATCAGTTAAGGTGATTGACTTGAATCAGCATCTGCTCACAATTCCCCAGTCAGAGGAATCACCTGGGGCACAGGTGTGTGAGTTATGGGGATCTCTGCATTAAAATTCTGATCCTGAAGGTCTGGGTTGGAGCCCAGGAACCTGGTTTTTGTTTTGTTTTTTGCTTTGTTTAAGAGTTTACTTATGTATTTGAGAGAGAGAGAACTGGAGCATGAATGGGGGGGGGGGACAGAGGGAGTGGGCGAAGCAGGCTCCCCGCTGAGCAGGGAGCCCAACAACACTACGACTCCATCCCAGGACCCTGAGATCATGACCTGAGCTGAAGGCAGTTGCTTAACTAACTGACCCAGCCAAGAGCCTTCAGGAATCTATTTTTCACAAGCACTACCAGATATTCCTTACCTTGAGCAAGTTCAGGAGCTGATCGATCAGCTGGCCTCAGGGACCTCTTCTGAGGCTGTTCTGTGAGTCTGTGGGGTCATGGGGTCACTAGGAAGGGAGGCTGAGCTCTCCAGAGCTGGACTGAGTTAGGCTTATCCACCGGGACCCTTCTGTTCCACATCACTTGGTTTCCTGAATGGCCCCTGGTGTCTATGTGCTAAAAGACAGAGGAGTCTGAGAGTTCATTCACCTGTTTGTATCTTTCTATAAGAAAATGTTTTGCAGGGGTGCCTGGGTGGCTCAGGTCATGGTCCTGTGTCCTGGGATTGAGCCTCGCATTGGACTTCCTGCTCAGCGGGGAGTCTGCTTCTCCCTCTGCCCATCTCTGGGCTCATGCTGTCTCTCTTTCTCTCAAATAATAAAAGAAAATCTCTTTTAAAAAAGAAAATATTGTAGTAAATTTGTGCTTGTTGTTAAAATATTGATTTGGAGGGGCACCTGGGTGGCTCAGTTGGTTAAGCGACTACCTTCGGCTCAGGTCATGATCCTGGAGTCCTGGGATTGAGTCCCACATAGGGCTCCCTGCTCGGCGGGGAGACTGCTTCTCCCACTGACCTCTCTCCTCTCATGCTCTCTCTCAAATAAATAAATAAAATCTTAAAAATATATATATTGATTTGGAAAAAAGAAAAGAGCAGCAGAAAAATTATCTCACCACCCAGAAATGATGACTAGGTCTAATCCTCATCCAACTTTATTGGTATCTCATGTTGTTGTTGTTTTTTAAATTCTCATCTTTTTTATTTTTTAAAGATTTTATTTATTTATTTATTTGACAGACAGAGATCACAAGCAGGCAGAGAGGCAGGCAGAGAGAGAGAGAAGGAAGCGGGCTCCCCGCTGAGCAGAGAGCCCGATGCGGAACTCGATCCCAGGACCCTGAGATCATGACCTGAGCCGAAGGCAGAGGCTTTAACCCACTGAGCCACCCAGGCGCCCCCATTCTCATCTTTTCTGTGTGCATTTTGTCTTCTGTATATTTAACGATACTCTTCAATGTTATTTATATGTTATTTGAAATGCAAGTTTACAAACAGGATTTTCAATTGTTATTTCAGTTCTATCTATAATGTACCAAAGGAGCTCTGGCCATTTCAAAATCTCTTAATGCTTTGCTGGCTCTACTCCTGCGTGGGAAAGAACTGGTAGCTGGAGAACGAGTTCTGCTCAGCCTCCTGTGGCCGAGTCATGGGTTTGAGTGGAAAGAAGTGACCCTGGTTTTTCACATTCCCAGGTGGGAGGAGAAGATCCCTCTGGCAAAAACCACCCTGGAGAAGACCTGGCTGTTCCACGAGATTGGCCGCTGCTACTTGGAGCTGGACCAGGCCTGGCAGGCCCAGCATTATGGGGAGAAGTCCCAGCAGTGTGCAGAGGAAGAAGGAGACATTGAGTGGCAGCTGAATGCCAGCGTTCTGGTGGCACAGGCCCAAGGTATGGACATGGAGAGAGGACTCTCCATGCTACCTTTCCCAGGCCTCTGGCTGAGGGGACAGGCCAGGGCTGGGGACCCTTATCATCCCAGTGTGTCCCTGGCCAGATGAATGTGGCCCCTGAGAGTGGGGGATAGAGTCCTTCATTTTGACTGGTTTGCAGTAAGTGCCTCCTGTAAGCGTGAGAGCCGGGAGCACCCCAGAAGCTGCCCCAAGGATCTCAGCTGCAAATCAGCCCAGCATTGCATCATCATCAAAACAGGGCCACTTTCTCTGGCCTTGGAACCCTTCTCATGTGCATTCTTGCACTTAATCACCGCGTGAGCCAGCGACGAAGGTAGTATTGTCCTCCTTTCGAAGATGGGGAAATGGAGGCACTGCGTGGTTTAGCTGACTGCCCAGGTCACCTGAGGGATGTTTTCAGAGTGATGCAGATATTCTTTTTTTTTTTTTTAAGATTTTATTTATTGAGGCGCCTGGGTGGCTCAGTTGTTGCTTCTGCCTTTGGCTCAGGTCATGATCTCAGGGTCCTGGGATCAAGCCCCACCTTGGGTTCCCTGCTTGGCGGGAAGCCTGCTTCTCCCTCTCCCACTCCTCCAGCTTGTGTTCCCTCTCTCACTGTGTCTCTCTCTGTCAAATAAGTAAAAATAAAAATCTTTAATTAAAAAAAATATATTTTGCTTATTTGTTTGACAGAGAGAGAGCATGTCAGGTGCTTGATGGAAAAGTCCTAAAACTGGGTTGTGGGGATCGTTGTACAACTCCATCAAGTTACTAAAAGTCATTGAAATGTATACTCACAAATGGGGCATTTTATAATATCTAAATTACTCCTCAGTAAAGTTGTTAAAATAACGCAGCAAGGGGCAGGGGTGAGCAAGAACAGTTGAGACAGGGTTGGTGGTATTTTGAATTGTTGAAGCCGGGTGACAAGTCATAGGGCCTCACTATATGTCATCTATGTTTGTGTATATTTGAAATATTTCATAAATCAAAGTTAGAAAGGAAATGGCTGGAGGTCACAGGTCAGTAAGCAATGAGGCTGGGACTAGAGCCCAGGCCCCTGCTCTAGTCCCAATGGGGGAGGTGATGTGGCAGGGGTTGTGGTCAAGGGCATCATCATTCATTATTCTTACCACAAATACTTTCTTGGCACATTTGAGGCACCAAGCAGGGCACACAGTAGGGATAATCTTTGATGACCTTGTCCTGCCTTCATGTCTGAGAAGTCACTTTGAAGCAGAAACCTTAAGGATGAGAAGGCACCGACTATTCTAAAAGCTGAGGACCGCACTTTCCAGCGGTTCTACAAGGAACACCATGTAGAAGGTGTTGAGGAGTTTGGGGGATTTAAGAAGCTGAGGGAAACCAGGGTCAGCCTTGAGGGCCAGGAGGTCTGGATGGGGTGGACGAGGAGGGGCCAGATCCGCAGGGCCTCATGGGCCTCATTACAAATCAGAGATTCTTCCCTAAAATCATAGTTAGACAGGACCACTGGAAGCTTGAAACTGGGGGAAGGCGTGAGTACTAGAGCTTTTCCTAGAACCCTTTTCTGTTCTCAGGAGGGCATAGTATAAGCTGAGGGGGAAATGTGATGTACCCCTCAGGGTCAGTGTTGTCCTTAGTCTTTTTTTTTTTTTTTTAAGTTTTATTTACTGGGGCGCCTGGGTGGTGCAGTCATTTAGGCATCCGACTCTTGGTTTCAGTTCAGGTGCTGACCTCAGGGGTGTGAGATGGATCCCCAAGTGGGCTCCGTGCTCAGCAGGAAATCTGCTTAGGTTTCTCTCTCCCTCTCCCACCGGCCCTCCCCGCTGTGCATTCTCTCTCTAAAATAGATGAATAAATCTTAAAAAGAGAGAGATTTATTTATTTATTTTAGAGGGGGTGGGGAGAAACTTTAGCAGATTCCATGCTGGGGGCAGAGGCAGGAACAGGGCTCCAATCCCATGGCCCAGAGGTCAGGACCTGAGCTAAAACCACGAGTCTGACGCTTGGCTTTTTTTTTTTTTTTTTTTTTAAGATTTTATTTATTTATTTGGCACAGAGAGATCACAAGTAGGCAGAGAGGCGGAGGGTGGGAGGGAAGCAGGCTCCCTGCTGAGCAGACACACACACACACACACACACACACACACACACACACACACCCCGCCCGGATGCAAGGCTCGATCCCAGGATCCCAAGACCATGACCTGGGCTGAAGGCAGAGGCTTAACCCACTGAGCCACCCAGGCGCCCAAGCTTAACGGACCGCACCACCCAGGTGCTGCTCCTCCTCCGTCTCCTCTTGAGGACTTGCTTGGCCCCAAAGGCCCCTGGAGAGCCAGGCAGTCACTGCTGCTTTCAGTTTCCCCGCTCTGGGATGGAAAAACCAAATGCAGCTGCTTGGAGCCCCTGGGTTCTAGAGGCCATCCAGTCTGGGTGCGGAGTTTCGGGCCTGGGGCCTCCTGTCAGAAACCGTGGGCAGTCGGTTACACCACCTCAATGAGGTCCCAACTGCAGCACTCACCAGCTGGGGGAGGGAGCTGGGACAGCTGCTGCTTCCTCTCGGGGTTCAGATTGCACCAGTGTGGGGGCTGGACTCCAGCTGCTGGCCAGTGAGTCACAGTCAGCACTTTTCCATCAGATCTCAGTTGGTCTTCACAACAGGTGAGGTCAATTTGAATGAACATTTAAAAAATACCGGTTTCCAGGGGCGCCTGGGTGGCTCGGTTGGTTAAGCGTCTCTTTTTCTTAGCTCAGGCTTGCTCTCAGGGTCGTGAGTTCAAGCCCTGGTACCGGGCTCCACATGCAGGGAGCCTATTTTAAAATGTGTGTGTGTGTGTGTGTGTGTGTGTGTGTGTGTGTGTGTGTGTGTATTTCTATATTTTATATATATGTTTTATTTATTTATTTATTTGTTTGTTTATTTATTTATATGGGTTTCTATTCCTGGAACAATCCTATGTTGGGGCAAGATGGGAAGATGGGATTGTCCCTCTGCCCTGGTGACACATGGTGTGCGCACAGGCCCTGGCCCAGACCCTTCTTTCCTCTCTGACCTCTCTGAGAGGGCTGCTAGCCAAGACTCGGGCTCCTAGGTTCTGGTAGCCAGAAAGGGAGGAGATGGGCAGCTCCATGATGCTGCCTTGAGGCCTGGGGCTTCTAACTGACCCTGGGAAGGGCTGGGCGGTCACACTGTCCAACACACAGTGTCACAGTCTCCCTTGCTTGCCTCTTCTCTGCTCTCCAGTCAAGCTGAGAGACTTCGAGTCGGCCGTGAGCAACTTTGAGAAAGCCCTGGAGAGAGCAAAGCTGGTCCACAACAACGAGGCGCAGCAGGCCATCATCAGCGTGAGCTGCCCACCCTGCTGGGCCCTGGCTTCGGGGAGGCCGTGGGGGGGTCCTCAGCCCCTGGGTCAGCCAGAACCCAGGGATTTATTACCCACCAGCCGCAGGGGTAGCGCCTTTCTAATGCTCGCTGACGCTCTCAGTGTGTACAGCAGCCCCATGTACCTATTTTTACTCGAAATAAACAATAGAAATGGAAGTTTTACGAAACACATTTACCTTAACTATATATGCTGGTATTTCCTGTTATATTCTCCCATAGTTTCCATTTTCTTTTCTTTTGGTTTTTATTTTTTATATTTTTTATTTTATTTTATTAAAAGATTTTATTTATTTGACATACAAAGATCACACGTAGGCAGAGAGAGAGGGAGGAAGCAGGCCACCTGCCAAGCAGAGAGCCCGATGCGGGGCTCCATGCAGGGCTCGATGCGGGACTCGATGGCGGGCTCTATCCCAGGACCCCAAGACCATGACCTGAGCCGAAGGCATTGGCTTTAACCCACTGAGCCCCCCAGGCGCCCTTTTCTTTTGTTTGATGCTGGCTGAACCCTCAACTGATGTTAGGGCTTGCCTTTTGGAAAATGCTGCCTCCTCCCGGAGACAACAGGAAATACAGCGTGACCGCCTCCCTCACAGGCCTAGGGAGGAGGCCCCATGCTGCTCAGCAAGGCAGCCTGCCACATACCGATATTTAGATGCCAATGAATTAAGAGTAAATAAAATTTAAAGTTCAGTTCCTCAGTCACACAGCCACATTTCAAGGGCTCTATAGCTGCCTCTGGCTGGTGGGTTCCCAAGAGTGCAGATCTAGAGGATTCTTTTTTTTTTTAAGATTTTATTTATTTTACACAGAGATCACAAGTAGGCAGAGAGGCAGACAGAGAGGAGGCAGCAGGCTCCCCACTGAGGCAGAGGACCGGATGTGGGGCTCGATCTCAGGACCCTGAGCGAAGGCAGAGGCTTACCCACTGAGCCACCCAGGCGCCCCCAATTCTTATGGTGGCAGGCATTTCTGTTGCGTAGTGCTGGCGTAGACCGTAAGCGTTGGGAGGCAGAGACTGGCGAGAAGCCCGAGGAAGCCCGCAGGTGCGTCAGACCGGCCGCCACTCCCAGAGCCGCTCCAGGCAGCTGCGCATCCTCAGGAGGGTCAGCACACTGACCTCAAAGATGCAGAGTTTGCATGAGTCCCCTGGCCTCTCCACCTCCCACTGCCTCCCCCGCCCCCCGCTGCCCCATGTTGAAATGCCAGAGCTTCCCACCAGCACGTGGCTGGAGCCCAGTAAGCATCTACTGGCATGAATGAAGCAGGGCCCTTGTCCTGGGTGAGCTTGCCCCTGTGATTAAGAGAGGCCAGGCATGCGGGGCGCCTGGGTGGCTCAGTGGGTTAAGCCTCTGCCTTTGGCTCAGGTCATGATCTCAGGTCCTGGGATCAAGTCCCGCATCAGGCTCTCTGCTCAGCAGGGGGCCTGCTTCTCTCTCTCTCTCTGCCTGCCTCTCTGCCTACTTGTGATCTCTCTCTCTGTGTCTAATAAATAAAAATCTTTAAAAGAGAGGCCAGGCATAATAATGAGGGGGCACCATGAGGGCACTGTCTTGGGGACCAGACTGAAGTTTCAACGGGAACTCAGGAAAGGGAGCAGGGACCCTGGGAATTGACAGAAGAATTCTCCAGTTGGGCCTCCTGCTGTGCTTTGAAGGACCAGGACAGACGGGTTTGGCCAGGCTGAGAAGGGGCAAGAGCACTGAAGGCACCAGAGGCCACGGGAACTGAGGGGTCTGTGGGAGGCAGAAAAGAGCCCCTGGGCCTGGATGCGAGGGCCGGCTCACCATGGCAGAAGAAGTAGGGCCAAAGGACCCCAGATAGTCGGCAGCCCAGCCGGGACGTGGAGGGCTGGGAATGGCAGAGGCGTGGCCTGACCTACTCAGAGCTTTAGGATGTGAGCTCATGGTTTGTGGAGGACCCTGGTGAGGGTCCCTTTCCTGTCGTGGTGGGGAAATCGGTCCTGAGAGATTCCACCTCGTGGCAGTCTGTGCCCCCCTTTCACCCTTCCCAGGGCTTAGGCCTTCCACGCTGCTGTCTTCTTCCTTCTATGTGTGTGTGTCAGCTCCCCAAGTGTGCATCTCGCCCTCTGGAGGAAGAGCGCTCCTTCCCTGAACCATGGGGCTGCCCCCCAATTCCCACGCACCATCCCTCCGCCTAATGCCCTTCTGCAGGGTCACCCTGCAACCGGAGAGCAACAGCTCCACAGTCCAACCCAGTAAATCTCTGCTGGCCACCGGCTGGCTCTGAGCTGCCCAGCCCAAAGGTGACAGCTGTGGTCCTGGGCCACAGGAAGCTTGCTCTCAGCGGGAAGGTTAAAACAAAAACCCCTTGTTCCTGGCCAGGGCGAGGGGATCCAGGGTGAGAGTGCCTGAGTGGGTGAGACAGGGCTGGGCTGTCCCATCAAGGTGGGGCGTCTGGCGTTGCCCTGAAGGCTGGGCAGGGTTTTGAAAATGAGAGGCAGAGAGAAAAGACCCCATGGCCTTGGCGACTCCTCGTGAGACCAGGTCCCTGTCACCTGACCCTCCTATACTGGCAGCTCTGGGCAGGAAGGTGCACTCGAGGCCAGATCAGTAGTCCCCCTGGCCTCTCCATGGATGGTTCCCGACTGCTTCTCATGGCTCTGCCTGGAACTACAGGCACAGCCTGAGCCCCAGGACACCAGGGAAACTGTGGATGCCCCAAGGGCCCCTCTCAAGACAGGCCAGCACCCCAGTCACACCTGGCAGTGTGTTTCCAAGTCCCCTCCTTGGAAGCTTGCTGCCTTGCTTAGAGGCTTTACTGTCTCCACATTGGCTGGAGCCGAAAGAAGCTTCTGGTAAAGAGGTCGAAATGAGCAGACGAGAGGCAACTCTGAAATATATACCAGAGCCCAAGGAAGTTGAAATTCAAGTTACCTGCAGTTGTGTTTATCTCCTGCCACCTAGTGTGGCTAATTCCAGCTCCATAAGTCTAAACCCTGGGCCCGGAGTTTGCGTAGGAGCCCAGAGAAAATGGAGGGCAGCAAGGCTGGTGCAGAGCCATGGCTTCTGGGATTGGGGCTCAGGTGAAGAAAGGGAAGGTGTGGGTGCCAACAGGGGTTAAGAGGGGTCACCAGCTCCTCTCCATCCACAGGCCCTGGACGATGCCAACAAGGGCATCATCGAAGAGCTGAAGAAAACGGACTACAGGGAGACACTGAGAGAAAGGAGAGAGAGAGGTGAGCACCAGGAGGGAGCGCCAGGGTCCCCATCCATGCTCCCCAGCAGCTCTTCTAGTCCTGGGGTTGGGTTTCTTGGTGCAGGAGAAGGAGGTCCAGCCCTTGCCCACTGCTCTGAGTGCCCACTCCTGTATTTCTCCAAGTAACTCATCAGATATTAGTTAAGCACTCATCATGCACTGGGAAGGTGTGGGATTTGGGGGAGACTTAGGTTCGGCTTCTGTCCTGGAGGAGCACACAGCCCCAGGGAAAGCCAAGAGATTTGAGTTGTCAGCAAAGGGGATCCTGCGTGTTGAGCGGGGAGCAGCAGGGGTGAAGACACGGGTTTGGGGGGGCGGAGGGAGAAAGACGATTGTACACAGCTTCTGCCTGCCCTGCTGTGGTGTATCAGTCCCTCAGTGCGGCAGCGACCCCTCCGGGCACCCAGGCTGAAGTCGTCTCTGACCCAGGCCCAGGGGGAGATGGGATGTGAGGTTTCTGGGCACCCCAGCAGCCAGATGACAGCCCTTTATTATCCAGTGCCTGCTATGTGGTGGCTGGATCGCCTCAGGGAAGGCATCTGCCTCTGCTTCACAGGCCCTCAGAGCTGCTTTCGGGAGCCACAGGGGTCATAGGTGTGAAGAGATACAGCAAGGAAAGGGCAGAAGCTGCAGTGTCCTCCCTCCCTTCCCCTGGTCCCCTGGGAAGCCTGTGTGCCAGGGAGGCCCTGTGGCCCTCGGCAGTTGCTGGGCACTTCCCTCCCAGAACAGCAGGCGGCAGCATTGTCTAGGTCTTCACATGGTGGTCTCTTTCCTGCAGAACCTAGGGCCCTGCAGGCATCTTAGAGACCAGGAGCTTCCAGGAAGAGAGTATGGGGGAGACTCTCATGGGGAGGGCATTGTGACTTTTCTCTGTAGCTCATAAAAACAGGGAGCTAGGATCCTTTTGATCAATAAAATAGCTCTCCAGCTGAACTTCCTGCTAACAGTCTGCTCATACTTTGATAGGGAACCTCCCAATAAATGATGAATGTGCTTCCCAGGGACAAAGAGTAATGCAGAATGAGGAGGCTGGAGAAAAGAACCCCTCTGTCATTTCCCAGCACCTGTGTTACTTGTTGTAGGGAAAGAGAATGTGCTCTGAGAGCAGACTATCCTGGGTTTAAATTCTGACAGTGTGACCACTGGCTGTGATTTCTCTGTCATCAGTTTCAGGTCCTTTGACGACAAACTCAGATCACTGACACGATGCTGTTAATTCCATGACAACCGCAAGACATTGCCTCTGCAGCCCGCTCAATGCCTGGATCAGGGCTGGTGCTCAGGAAACAGTGACTGGCTGTCTCTCAGAAGCACAGGCCTCAGGGGGTTGAGATGACCCCAGGCCCAGAGATGGACAAACTTTTACTTTTCTTCCTTCCTTTCTCTTGTTTTTCAGAAGAGGCAGCTGAATTGGAATCTTTGAGAGAGGCGGCTACGGGGAAGGAGAAGGAAAGCATGAGAAGAGGGAGAGACGAGTTCGAGAAGGTGATGAAGCACTGGGAGCGAGAGCCAGCTGACAGTGAGAAAGAGACAGAAGATGAGTTGTCTCAGGAAATTCTGAGGGTCGCAGCGAGTGGACAAGAAGAAAACAGGCAGAGAGAAGTAGAGGAAGCCAACTCCTTCAAGAGAATAGGGCTGGGAGCCGCAGGGCGAGACTCAGGAGATGTTGCCAAGAGCATGTCCAGAGACCTGGGTGCAGGAAGCGAGGGAGAGGAGGGCAGGAAACCGATTGAAGTGGGCAGAATGGAATCAAGAGAAATTTACAGGAGGCCTTCAGAGCTGGACCAGAAACCCTCAGGAGAATTAAACAGAAGGGAATCAAGAGGACTGGAGAGTCAAGTTTCAGAAGACAGCAGAAGAGAGTCAGAAGAAACAGGGCAAACAGAACTGGGAGAAACAGCAAAGGCAGAAAATGGTGAAGACATGGAAGAACATGAAAAAGATGAATGAAGCAGCAGGCATCAGGACCAGGGACCTTGGGGATCTTATTCAACTGGACTTGGATTTTCAAGCTGAGATTTGTCTCTCATAGGAGAACACATGGACTGGGCTCCACAGGTCGCCTCTGCCTCTTTCTGCTACTGTTTTCCCTTTCAATAGATATCTTTCACTCTTCAAAACCCTGAGTCTGTCTTTTTGCCTCCCTGCTCACCCACAAGAGCCTTAGAGAATGAGGACCCCCACTCAGGGTACCACTCTCCAAGCAAAAGCATTTCAGGATGGTGAAGAAACAGGTGAGCTCCAAGGGACCAAGCTAGCTTAAAGAGGGGAAGAAAAAGAAAGTCCTGGGAGGAGAGGTACATTTGTGCAGACACTGGCCATGGGTTCATCTTGCTGAGTGACTGCTGTGGTCAGGGCACTGTGGGAGGCTTGATGGAAGAAGTGATGATGGGACACGCTGAAGCCTGGCAGGCACAAAGAATGAATGCTGGCATTGAAATGGGCATTATGCTGGAGGAGCCCAGAGGAAGAGAGCTCCTGCCTCAGAACAGGGAGCAGTCCCTAGGAAGAGTGGCAGCTGGACTCCACCTGCGCCACCTCCAGATGGTACAGTGAAGTAAATCAGACTCCACAAGCTGGTTTCCTCCTCCGTAGAACGGTATCTGCCCCCAGGGTTGGCATGAGACTTCTCTGAGTGCTCAGCACAGCACTTGGTACAGGGGAAGCTCTCCAAAATCCGACCCAGCTTTTTCGGTGACTTCGCAGAGGAGGTGGCAGCTGAACAGCTGCCTCAGAAGATGTGCCAGGATTTCACTACATTACTCATCTGTCCCGGCTATTGCCATCCTGGTTCCATCTCTCCAGTCCTTCGAAGGTTTAGGGCTGAAGTTAGGCTAGCTAGGACCAGACCCCCACTAATGTGAGGCGAGTGAGGCATTTCAGATGCAGTGGTTCACGGGGCTCCAGGAAACTCACTAAGCAACAGGTAGTAATCTAATGTAATGTAAAAACACATCCACAACGCTAAACCCCACGATGAATAAAATACCACAATTTTAAACAAGGACAGGATCTGACCTTGCACTTTCATGACCTTGCCTCCCTGGGCTCATCCTAACCCGGAGCGTGACCCGGGAAAGGTGACTGCCCCTTTCTTTCTAGAGTTCCTCGGGAACTCTGCAGGGTACACATGCGCCGCGGCGGTCGGACGGACGGTCTGCGGTACGCTAGGCGACTTCCTCCCAGCGCCGCGTCAGTTTCAGGTTTCGACCCGCCGCGCCTGCGCGATGAGGCCCCGCCCCGTCCCCGGCCGCCGCGCTCGCTCCGCCCCCGGGCTATGTAAAGCGGCCCGGGGCGGGGGTCGTGCCACCGCTGGGCTCCGTGTCCCTCCGCGCAGGCGGGCGGCCCCGGAGAGCTAGTGCCAGCCAAGGCGGCGGTGGCGGCGGCGGTGGCGGCGGCGGCGGCGCCCCCCCCATCATGGTGAGCGGGCTCGAGGAGGCGGGACGGGAGGGGGCGGGCCGGGGAAGCACCCTTACGGAAAACGAGAGTTTAGGGGGATTTTCGGGAGGAAGTGGCATGCAAATGAGGACCTGAGGTTCGCGAGTTGAGCTCTGGCTTTCTGGGCCGTGGGGTGCAGCCTGAGGTAGGGGACACCGGGGCCGAGTTGGGGAGCGGGCACGGCCGCGGGAGAAGGGCGGGATCGGGCGCCGCGGGAGTTCGCCCGCCGAGTGCGGGCCGGGGGTAGTGCGGGGCGGGCGTCCCTAGCCTTCTCCCGCCGCCCAAGGGCCTTATCTGAGAAAAGCCAGTGCCAGCGCCGCTCTCGGGGAGCTGCCGGGAGGTGGAGCCGCTTTAGAGCGACCGCTTGCAACAGGTGCTGTCTCACTTGTGGCTTTTAGCAGGCGGGAAAACAACAGGCTCAGAGACGTGCTGCCGACACACAGCAAAGTGGGGTGCGGGGCAGAGCTGGACCCTGAAGGCAGGTGCCGTGGGCCGCCCGGTCCTGGGGCAGGCACGAAGACCACGACTTTGTGGGGGGCCGAGGGCAGAGGAGGAGGTGGCAGGCGTGGTGAATGAGGCCCTTTGTCCGGTGTTCTCCTGCCCTGCCCCCCACCAGCCCTTCTGTGGGACCATTGTCCCCCCCCCCCATCCCAGACAAGAGAGTATTATCTGTTGCTGCCCTTGTGGGGGTTGGGGAGGCAGTCTTTGGGTAACCCTTCTCCACCCCCAGCCTCCTCTGCACACCCAGAGCCAGGACAGCTGTGGCTTTGCCCAGACATAGCAGCCCCACCTCCAAAGAGGTCATCCTTATTAAGGCGCCAAGAATATAAAGTTAGGGTCTGCTCCTAGAACCACGGGACATGTGCTTCCGGCACACTTTCCCTTGAGAGGTCGCAGCTGTGGGGGATCCTTGAAGCCGCAGCCCTGACGGGAGGGAATTCAGAGTTTAGGAAACACTCAGACAAGCTGTCCTCTCCCTCCTCCACCACCAGCAGCTGGCGGCCACCCAGGACGGAGGAGGAGAAAAAGGTCCAGTCCTGGGCCTGGGAAGGTGCCCACCGAACCGGGGGTGCTTTCAACTCAGGGCTGGGAGCCCCGAGTAGGAGGAGGCCAGAGTCCAGGGGGCAAGGCCGGTGGGGTGGCCTGGAGCGAGCTGGCTGACCTCGGCTCTTTCCCTCCTCACACACAGAACAGAAGCTTCTCCCGAAAGAGCCACACGTTCCTGCCCAAGATCTTCTTCCGCAAAATGTCGTCGTCAGGGGCCAAGGACAAGCCGGAGCTGCAGTTTCCCTTCCTGCAGGATGAGGAGACCGTGGCCACGCTGCTGGAGTGCAAGACCCTCTTCATCCTGCGGGGCCTGCCGGGGAGCGGCAAGTCCACCCTGGCGCGGGCCATCGTGGACAGGTACCGGGACGGCACCAAGATGGTGTCCGCCGACGCCTACAAGATCACCCCCGGGGGCCGAGGCGACTTCTCGGAGGAGTACAAGCGGCTGGACGAGGACCTGGCTGCCTACTGCCGCCGCGACGTGCGCGTCCTGGTGCTGGACGACACCAACCACGAGCGCGAGCGGCTGGAGCAGCTCTTTGACTTGGCCGACCAGTACCAGTACCAGGTGGTGCTGGTGGAGCCCAAGACGGCGTGGCGGCTGGACTGCGCGCAGCTCAAGGAGAAGAACCAGTGGCAGCTGTCGGCCGACGAGCTGAAGAAGCTGAAGCCGGGGCTGGAGAAGGACTTCCTGCCGCTCTACTTCGGCTGGTTCCTGACCAAGAAGAGCTCCGAGAGCCTCCGCAAGGCCGGCCAGGTCTTCCTGGAGGAGCTGGGCAACCACAAGGCCTTCAAGAAGGAGCTGCGACACTGTAGGTGGCTGGGGATGGGGGGCGGGGGTGGCAGGCGGGAGCGGGGGTGGCAGGTGGGAGCGGGGACCTCCGCTGTCCTCTGGCAGAGGGGAGGCTGGGGGTGACGAGGCACAGCTGTGGAGGCACAGGGCGCCCTCTCAGCTCACTGCACGCCTCCTCGCCCCACCTCGCCCTCCTCGCCCCACCCTACCCACCATGGAGACCATGGGCCCTGTCTTCTGGGCAGGTGGGGGGGTGGAGGACACGTTCCCGGCGCCATGGGGAGCATGTCCACGTTTCCTACAGCCTGAGAGGGAAAGCATGAGGCCATGTTTCCACCTGGCCTTTTTAGCAGCAGAGCCATTTTTCTGAAGTAAAATATTCCAGAGGGGTGCCTGCATGGCTCAGTGAGTAGAGCCTGTGACTCTTGATCTCGGGCTCATGAATCCCAGCCCCATGCTGGGAGGAGAGATCACTAAAAAAATAAGGGGCACCTGGGTGGCTCAGTCGTTTAAGCGTCCGACTCTTGATTTTGGCTCAGGTCATGATCTCAGGGTCAGTGAGATCGAGCCCCATGTTGTGAGTCTTTGCTTAAGATTCTTTCTCTTCTCTCCCTCTGTCCCTCCCCGCCTCCCTCTCTAAATAAATAAATAATGAAAGAACCTAGACAACATACCACAGAATCCTAAGCTGCAAAAAAATCACAATTAAGACCATTGTGACTTTGGTGGCTAGGATTCCCAGGTCTGAGGCTGCCCAGTGCAACCTTCTGGGGCTTCCTGAGGCTCCAGAGAACAGCCTCACACCTAGTCCAGACCCCTCATTTTGCAGAGGGGAAAACCCCCTGGAGGGGTGTGGGATTTGCGCAGAGCTGCGGTGAGAGCGCGCTGGACTCTGTCAGCTCTAGCAGGGGCCTCCCCATACCGGGCGGGAGCTCTCCTGGCAAGGGCTGTCTGCTCCAGGGGTAGGGCAGGTTGGGGTAAGGGAGGCCTTCATTTTCCTCTGTGACCATTGGCCTCCAGTGACCTCTTAGGGATAGGTCGCTCACTAATCCCTCTGTTCTTTTAGCCCATTTCTGGTGTCCCCAAATTTTAGATTATCTTCCCACCCATATGTCTGTGTTGTTCGGAGGCAAAATCTGTGCCTGGATAGTGCTCAGAGATCTCTTCTTGGCTCCTAAAGCTGGAACACCGGGAAGCCAGGGAACCGTGAGGCCTGCAGTGACGTCATCCAGGTGTGAGCCCAGCCCCTGGAACTGCTTGGCAGCAAAGCGCCCTACAGGGCGAGCTCCTGACTAGAGCTGCTTTGCCTCTTGTAGCTGCCTTTACCATTAAAAACTGCCACCCATTCCTGCCTAGGACACAGCAGGAGAAACGTAACGGGCCTGCGCTCAGAGCAGAGCTCTCCCTCCACTGTGGAGGGTGAGAAACAACCTTGTGGGGACTCTGGGAGTGAATACGACAGATTCAGTGACTGAAGCAAGCCCCAAGGCCTGACGTCTGGAAATTGAAATCCGGTCTTGATTTCCCAGGTCTTGCCATAGGATATCTCCTATCCCAAGACTCTTCCTCCTCTAGGCCCTTTATAGGCTCTCATCCACCAAACAGGCCTGCACAGTACCTGTTTACAGTGACCAGGTAACTTCTGGTCCGGGTAGGCCCGAGTGAAAGGGGGCACTGCTTAGAGTTCCCTGGGTGGTCCTGGGAAAATGGGTGTATGGTCGCCCTAATGGTACTTGGTTAGAACAGGGTCAATTATGTGCCCCAGGCCAAAGGACTTAGCTCTGACTCCTTCCATCGTACCACAATAATTCCAACACCCTTTTGCCTTTCTATCCCATTTTTCATGACCTGCTTCCCTCTTCAGATGTGTAGCTGGTAAAGCTGAGATTCCCTTGGCCTATGCTGCCTGTTCCTGGGTTACAAGTGTGTTAGTTTCCAAATCTGGAAGAGATGTAAAAATCTACATAATGTGAAACCAGGGAATTTAGACCCCTTTTTGTAGCTCTGATGTGGCTATTAGTTTGACCAGCTACTGAAGGAGTGAATTATACCGGATTGCTGAAGAACTCCTGCTTGCCATCATTTTTTTCCCTGCACTCCACGCCTCTGTGGTCTTGGAGGTGGGTATGAGGATGGCCCCTGCTCTCCTGCCCTGACTGCCCTGCTCTCTTCCTGCAGTTGTCTCTGGGGACGAGCCCAGGGAGAAGATCGAACTGCTCACCTACTTTGGGAAGAGACCCCCCGGCGTGCTGCACTGCACAACCAAGTTCTGTGACTACGGAAAGGCTGCAGGGGCAGACGAGTACGCCCAGCAGGATGTGAGTGCTCCCCCGGGACCCATGGCTGAGGTGTGGAGAGGGCAGGGTCTTCTGGAAATGGGGGCCAGCTCCATGCAAGGACCGGAAACCAGACAGCCTCGGGAAAAATGGCATCTCCTGCTCCAGGTCGCCCCCCCACAGGCTTAGTCACACAGCTGTCGGCCACCCTTTTTTTCTGCGCCTTCCCCCCCCCCCCCCCGCCGCCCCTGCACCGCCACCAGCCTGTACGCTCGCCCTTCAGAGGCTTCTGCTGCTGCAGCTGCTGCTTGGCAGCTGGCTCCGGCCTGTAGAGAGTCCCAAAGTTTAGGTGTCCCCCACGCCCAGCAAGCCCTGTACTCAGCGGTCCTGGTCTCCAGGTCCCAGGCCTGGCCTTGCCCTGGAGTGGGGTGCACACACCAAGGGATAGTGGGGCTCCTGGCTTCGGGGTGTCACACCTTTCCCTGCTCCCACTCAGCCGCTCTCTTCTTCCCACAGCCTCTAACGTGCAGTCCTTAAGCCGCAGGCACGTGGCCCGGCTGCACACTGGTCTCCGGCCTCTGGTGGCCTCCTCCGAGAGGGCTTCTGCCAACCCTCCACCTGTCTCCCCGACTTGTCTGCCCTGGTTAATGCAGCATCCATTTTACTGATCGTCTGTTGGTCTCCCCCGCTTGCATTTCTCAGTTCGGTTGACTGTCGTATCCATGGCCCCTAGCACAGCGGCATGAACGCACAGGTGACGCCGTCTACACCGTCTCAGCCACCCATGCACTTAGCACTGTTTATTAAGCCCCTGTTAGGCACCAGGCACGAGGGATTGTGAGCCAAGAGAAGAGATACTGTTATGGTCAGTCAGGAGAGATGGTCTTTCTGAGTCAGATATGACCACATGTAAACCCAGGTGTACAAGGTCGATTTTAATCTGAGGCATTTATTTCTGACCTCTCCGATACTGCCTGGGCACTCAGTGGCTTTTACCGGGGTGAGCTGAGTAGCAGTGACAATAGTACTTGTCACGTGCTTGTCACTGTTCTTAATGTGCCCAGACACTTGTTTCATCTGGTCACTGAGGTAGGTTCCAGCGTCATCCCTGTAGGACAGGTGAATGAGCCAACACGACGAGGTTAAAAGGCTGCTGGGAGGTGGGGCGCCAGACTCAGAGTTGGGGGAGTCTGGCCTTCAGCTCCGCCAGCGTCCTCCGGCTCTTCCGCTCATGTCAGCACAGGGGCCATGAGTGGCTTTTACCCGAGGCTTCTGCTCGAGAGAGGTGCTCTCCTCTGCTAGGCCCATCCTTGCTCAACAGTCTGCTCCCGGGTCTGCCACATCCAGCTTGGCGCTGTCGTTCCGTCCCCGCAGGTGGTGAGGAAGTCGTACTGCAAGGCCTTCACGCTGACCATCAGTGCCCTCTTCGTGACACCCAAGACTACTGGAGCCCGGGTGGAGCTGAGCGAGCAGGAGCTGCCATTGTGGCCAAATGACGTGGACAAGCTGTCCCCCTCTGACAGCCTGCCCCGGGGGAGCCGGGCTCACATCACCCTCGGCTGCGCGGGCGACGTGGAGCCCGTGCAGACGGGCATTGACCTCCTGGAGATTGTGCGGCAGGAGAAGGGGGGCAGCCGAGGCGAGGAGGTGGGTGAGCTAAGCCGGGGCAAACTCCACTCCTTGGGCAATGGGCGCTGGCTGCTAAGCCTGGCCAAGAAGCTGGAGGTCAGGGCCATCTTCACGGGATACTATGGGAAGGGCAAACCCGTGCCCACGCACGGCAGCCGCAAGGGGGGCGCCTTGCAGTCCTGCACCATCATCTGAGTGTTCTCGCTGCCGTCAGCCCCCCGCTCCTCAGAAGGGAAAGGGAAGGGGTGGAGGGGAAGGGAAAGCATGCCTTCTGCTTGACCTTTGTTTCAAGTTTTTGTTTGTTTTTACATTCAAAGTTAACCTTTCTGTAACTTAAAAAAAAAAAAACTTGTAAAGTAACTTTTCCTGCCCTCCCTTGTCCCCTCTAACACCCAAGCTTTCAACATGAGAGGGGTGTGGGGAGTGCCATTCAGGAACCCAGAGCAAAGCTGACAAGGCTGAGCCAAGCTGGGCCTGGAGCCGCAGCCACAACCCCACGCCCTGACGCCTTGTCCTGGGTTCCCTGCCCTGAGCTGGCCAGCGGGGGAGATGCCCCAGAGCTGTGTGTCCCCACCAGGTGGTCACAGCGGCCGCGGGAAACTGGCCGTGGGAAACTGGCCGTGGATTTGAGAGGGTGGGGAAATCCCTGGGCTTTGACCCCAAATCTAATCACTGCAGCCCCATGATGTATGCTGGGGCTTTTTTACCAGGGTAGAAAAGGGGCTTTGCGTCCCACCTTTGGCCCTAAGTGCCTGTCCCCTCCTTTACACTGTGACTAGGGAACATTTGACAGCCACATCCCAGCTGGCTGCAGGTCTTGCCCCACGAAGGGGTAGGCTGGCCATCTTTTCCGGCGGTGTGTCTCGGCTGTGGGGTTGGGGAAATCGAAGCCAGAGAAACTACCATCTGCCCAGTCCAGCTTGCCTCCCTGGTGCCTCTGGAGGCCTTGGCTGCTCCTCTACAGGGGTTAGTTGGTGGGGGACCGAGAGCCAACAGAGTGGACCCCTGGCTGGTAAGGGCCAAGCTCCCCTGGTGCTCTGAGAAGGGGTTTTTTAACATTGGTACACATGCTGTGGTTCCTGGGGTGCCCTCCACTGCCCCCCTGCTCAGTAACAGGGCCTTGCTAATCAGGTTGTCACTGGACGAAAGTGCTTGAGATTTAAGTTACTATCCTGGCTTTGCCCGACCTCAGTGACTTGTAAGACTGACCGTGAAATAAACTGTGTTAATCCTGGCTGTGTGCAGTCTCTCTCACCCTTCTGTGCCCAGCTCAGTCTTCCCTGGGGTCAGGGCTGCTGTATCAGGACTGGCTTTGTCCCGTAGCTTGGGGCCATCGGTCCTGTCTCCCCTCTGCTGGCTGGGCACAGCTGTGGTGAGGTTGGGCGGCTGAACAGTGTTGGCTTTCATGAGGCGGCAGAAAGGAGAGCGGCCGATCTTAGATGCACACAGAAAAGTGGGGGGGTGGCTGGGTCTGAGGGAAGTGGAGCAGAGCCCGTCCCCCATAACTGTGGCATCGTGACCACATGTGTGCCAGCCCCCAGCAATCAGAGGGCCTTCTCAGCCAGACCCACGGTTCCTGGTTTGGGTTTCTGCCAGTCTGCTAGGGAAGGCCACCCTCAGGTCATGGTGCTGCAAACACGGGGAAGACCTGACATTCAGGAGTTCATACAGGCCTAACTCAGTCACACTATCACCATGGCCTTGGCATCAGTCGGGGAAGACTGGAGAGAAGGGCCGGGGCTCAGAAGGAAGAGAAGCAGTAAGTTACCTATTTGGTCTACGATCCTTTCCCAGCCAGCTCTACTACCAAAGTGCCAAAAATCTAAGCATCAAAGTCTCAAATCCCTCCGCCTAAACTCATAAAAAGATTACCTGCCGTGAACACTATGCGTGACTTGAAGAGCAGGACACTGGTCACCGCCTCCTCCCCCAACTCGTCTCCCAGAGAGGGGACAGCAGTGGAGAAGCTGAGGGGTATTTACTAAGAATGTGGTTTCCAACCACGTGAGCTTAAGTTCTGTGTCTGGAACCCAGGGCCCAGGAACTGTGTGGCTCACCTGGAAAGGAGGCAGGATTTTGTCCCTGTCTCCATGTCCTTTACCCTGCAGTGGCCAGAGGGCTGTGAGGGCCTGTGTAAACCTCCTGTTTGGGTTAGCCCAGCCTCAGGGTTAGCAGCCAGCCGTGCTCCACGTGAGCTCTGGACACACGCAGCTCCTAGTGAGCTGTAGCTGCCATTACCATCAGATCACCTGTGACCGACGTCAGGTGGGGCCCAACACCAACTCAGTCCTGTTCAGCACTCCCAGGCTGAATAGGTCTGGGACAGGTGGCTGGCATCCCCCCGCCATCAGGCCTCAGATGGGCAGGTGCTGAGCCTACAATCTGTGTCCGTACCAGCTCCGCGCTGGGGGCTCAGCTCTGGCCTACCGACTCTGGAGTGACACAAAGCAGCTGCCAGAGCAAAGTGCCAGAAAGGGTCAAAACATTTTATTCTCTTAATTTTTTTTTCTTTTTTAATAAAGTTAAACAGTAAAACAAAAATTCACAAGCTGCCTCCCTGTCCACCCCCCGCCTCCCTCCCCTCCCCGCAGTCTTCGGCGCTGGCTCCCTTTCCTTCCCCCCAACTCACACAGACACAGGGTATCCAACTAAGAAAACGAAACTGCTCTAAGGACGAAACTGCTCTAAGGGGAGACGAGATGAAGGGAGGAGGTGGTGAACTGTGCCCACGTTCAAGGTTACACTGAGCAAGTCTGCACTTTCTGGGTTCTGGATGGTTTCCTTTCATTAGCCAAATTGAAAAAAGAAATTCCCTGGACCAGATGCTGTAAGGCAAAAGAAGGGCTTGTTAGCTTACTCTGGGTGGGAAGGTCACTCTGCTCTGATTATGGGAAAGTCTTCAAGGGCTGCTTCGAACTCAAACAGAAAAACCAAGAGCATCAACAGCCTAGGTCCTAGGGTCTTAGGGGAGCACGTGAGCAGCTGTGTGTCTGCAGCTTCTAAGCGTCACTCTCGCAGAGAAGCCCCGCACTGGACAGCTTAGAGATGCCTCCCAGATGCTGCAGAGGTGTGGACTAATGGTCCCAAGGCACGGTGCACCTGGGAGCCTTCCCACCTCCATCCTCAGCAGCCCGAGTGGACCTGTAACCCTGCTAGATGGGCCTTCTGCCGCCTCTACTCCTGGGCCCCTCTGACTTTCAAAGAACTACACAAGTGGGGAGTCATGTTATGGGCCTGTGATCTGGGAACTCCTGAGAGCAGGAGGCTTACCTTCAAAGCTGAAGCCCCCAGGACCGCCAAAGAATGCCTTGAAGATATTGTTGGCATCAAAATCTGTGGAGCAGAGCAAGAAAACAGGGCAGGGACAAAAGTTGGAAAAGTTAGACATGTCTGAAGAGGAACTTATGACAACACTAAGAATGGCTCCCCAAAGCTTTCCCAGATTCATCCCTAACCTCCTTCCCAAAACCTCACTGACAGGGTGGGCCTATCTGCCCCGCCCCCTTTGCCTACACTCCCTCCTCCTCCTCCTCCCTCCTCCTTCTCAGCTGGACCTGAAGGCAAGCTTTCTTTGCCTCAACCTACTTTGCCAGACCTTCTTCTCAGCAACTGGGATGCCATTTGCACTTAAAAGATTCGCCCCACACTGTCTCCCTATAATGCTGGGGCTGCTACTGAGGGGGCGAAAATCTATCACTTCAACGCTAACAACACTAAATATAGGAACAAGATCTAAACTTTATTGTATTCATTTGATTCCATGCTCTGTCTAGACTATGCCAGGAGTGGGGAGGGGAAGCCATGGTTTATTAGGCATCTACTAGGTGCCAATCATGGTGCTGGGTACTCTTCATACCTTACATCATCCCCAATTTACACTCAACAAAACCTAAGTAGAAAGCTCACGTAACTTGCTCAAGATCATGCAGCCAGTGACGGCAGCAGAACCAAACACTCCAGCTCCTTCCTGACTCTAGTGCTGTCGCCTGATCACCAGACCACAGCAGGACTGCTGCCCCCATCCCCAACTGAGTCCCTAAGCTCCACAGAGCATTCGTCTCCACCAGTTGATCCAACAGGTAGATTGTATCCAAAAGCAGATTCTTCCTTGCCTGTGCGCCTGCTCATCTGGGGTCCCCTAGCTCAGTGACTGCATCCAGCAAGTCAGCCATCTAAAGCCACTCAGCTTCATCCTTTCCTTCTTCCAACACATCAGCAACCACCTCCTGTTACATCTCCCACTGTGCCCTCCGACCCTTTCCTACCCATGTCTGCTGCCATCTCTCACCCCCTTCCTGGCGCCAAACCACCTCATCACCGCCATCATAAATACACTTCTGGAGCCAAAGTCTGGTTCGGGGTGCCCCTCCTTACAACCCTTCAATAGCTTTTGACTGCTCGTTGCTCCTCTCAACTGCTGGGCAGAACAATGTTCACTACTGGTCAATCTAAGTTACACACACACCCTGAACCAGTGACAAGGATTATCTAGGTAACATCATTGGTCCTATTTTAAATTTCAAGATTTTCTTAATGGAGGAGAGAGGGCTGGCGTCAGAGACCACGGTCTGAGACAGGTGCAGAGCTCCCGGCCTGTCTCATCTCCAGTGGAGCTCAGAGCGAGCGCAACACTGACAGCTATGCTTTAAGTCTTTCAGGGAAACTGAACTCTGAAGCCTGCTGGGAACGAGTGACACGCATAAATATCAGCCAGCACACACTCTGGGGTGGGGAGGAAGCTTCCAGCTGACATGAAAAAAGCCCACATTCCCTACTCTGGCTGCCAAGGCCTTCCAAGCGGGGAGCCAGCTACATTGCAGCCTCATGTCTCACCTTCCCCTGCCTCAAGCACCCTCTATCCTCCCACACTCAGCCCATCGCAGCTCCCCGAAGGTATTATTTCTCCATCTCCAAGCCTTCCCTTGCTAGTGCTCACCTCCTAAGTACCCACTCTGCATCTTGAGCTCCTGCTACCCTTGACTGTCCTTGTTGGAACTCTACATCCAGAGCTCAGGGGTAAGATGTGGCCTGTGGTCACTGTGCAAAGCCCAAGACGGGGTTCTTGGAGCTCAGGGAACCTGATTCACCTGGTATTTCCAGCGCCCAACATAGTGCCTCACACATTGCAGGTACCCATGGGGGGCCTTCACATCACTGTGCTTCCCTGTTACATAGACTCCCCTTTGGAGAGTCTTCAGAAAAATTCTAACCACCTGCTGCTGTCAGGTTCAACCCAGGCTGCCCCAACCAACTCACCGCCCATATTCATGCCCTCCTCATCCAAGTCCTGTCCGCTGTCATAGCGAGTCTTTTTCTTGGGATCAGAAAGGATGGTAAAAGCTTCTCCAACTTCCTTGAACTTCTTCTCCTCCTCCTTCTGAACTTCGGCACTGGCTCCACTGTGCCGATCTAAAGGGAAGAGTATGGGAAGAACTCAGAATCACAAGAAAACAGTTTAAGACAGAGACCACTTTATGTCTGACTTTAGAATCTGGTACACTTCCAAAGCTTGGAGGGTAGGGAGCTTAGCAACAGCTCATTCCCAGCTGAAAAGCCAGAACCTTTCATTCTCACTTGACTTTGGCAAGGCCGGCCTGGTTTGCGCTTCCCAAGTCCGTTCCCCGCGCCCACTCTACCTGGATGGTGCATCAAGGCCCGTTTCCGGTAAGCTTTCTTGATCTCGTCCTCAGAGGCATTCTTGTCCACTCCCAGAATTTTGTAGTAATCTTTCCTCTTACTCTTCTTCAGTTCCAGCTGTGCATTTTTTAGGAGCTGTTTGTGTTCTAGAAGGAGACAGCTAGAGTCAATGGACAAATCTGACTCTGGTTTTCCTTACCAGGTCCTAACACAGATAGATGACTTATAGTCAGAAGCTTTGTTAATCATACCAGGCACACAGGGGCGCCTGGTGGCTCAGCGGGCTAAAGCCTCTGCCTTGGGCTCAGGTCATGATCCCAAGGTTCTGGGATCAAGCCGGGCATCAGGCTTTCTGCTTGGCAGGGAGCGTGCTTCCCCCCGGTCTCTGCCTGCCTCTCTATTTGTGATCTCTTGTCTGTGAAATAAATAGAGAAAATCTTAAAAAAAAAAGATTTTATTTATTTGACAGAGATCACAAGTAGAGAGGCAGACAGAGAGAGGGGGGGAAGCAGGCTCCCCACCAAGCAGAGAGCCTGATGTGGGGCTCGATCCCAGGACCCTGAGATCATGACCTGAGCCGAAGGCAGAGGCTTTAACTCACTGAACCACTCAGGCACCCCAAATAAAATCTTTAAAAAAAAAAAAATCATACCAGGAGCAGTTATGGTGTTTTCTTCTGAAGATTATAAAAAAAAAAAAATCGACTCATACTTTGATTCCTCCCATCATTCTAATTACACAAAAAAGGAAGTGAAAGTGACAGAGAGGATTCAAGACCAGAAAAAAAGTGCCTCATCCTGCACTTGGCATCTCGCCTCACTTCTTCCTGGCTGGTCATCGATAAGCTCCTGGTATATCCTTGTTCCCTGAATCAAACGACCCTGTGTCCAGTTTTAAGGGCCTAAGAGTAAGACCTCACAGTTCCCTGAGAAACATGCTCTCAGATCCCTTTACCTTTTGTTTTCTCCGTCTGATATACTTTTTCATAGTCCCGCACAGCTTCTTCATACTGTTCTGTGTCCATGTAACTGAGAAGGAAATACAGGGGGTACAGCAACATAAATAGCAATGGCCTTCGGTATCACTCTGGCAGAAGAGGCACAGCTCAAGCAAGAGACACACACTTTTGGTTGAGATGCATCATGAAACAGGAGTCCTTAAGCCAGCCGTGAGAAAAAATTAACTACCAATTTCTCAAGTAAACAGAGATATCTCATGCCACTTGTACCCAACCAGCAAAGTGATCCTCTGCTCTGAGCAGAATGCAACCAACAGGAGAAGGTTCCTTCTGATTTCAGAGCCCCCAAGAGGCATCTGGACTGCCTTAGGAAAGGCAATGTAAATGCATCTACTTGAACGATTACTTGGGATTGAAATGCCAAAGAAAAATTATCCAGTGAGAGCAACGGATATGGAAAAGCTTTGAAACCTGTAGTGCCATAAACATGCAGGGCCAGCTCCAATCCAGAGCACAAGTGGGATTAGTGAGCCACTTGAAGGATCAAGTTCAAGGTGCTGTGGCTGCTGGCAAATGCTTCCACTAAGACTAATCAATCTGAGAGATGTAGGTAGGAGAAAGAAAGGAGACTCTAAACACAGGCTTGCTTCTATTTCAATAGTGCAGAAGAAAAGCGGGGTGGGGGGGTGTCAGCCCAAGATGGGAGGAATCTAGCTTGACAGGCTGATGGCCAGAACTTTTAAGACCTTCTCTTCCACAGAAGCAAAGTGGCATTTTCCATGTCCTGATAAGATCACTGGCGCCAAGACTGTCCTACCACTTAAATAAACTGTGGTAGACGTTCCAGAGTCAGACCGCATCAGCTGGATGAAGCATAGCCAGCCACTGCAGAACAAAAACCAAACTGACTACCCTGCCCCTTACCAACCCATCTTCGCAAACATCAGAGCTCCACCTGGCTAAGAGGCCACAGCAGGGCGATGGTACTGATGTGGCTGGCAAGATGGGGTGCCCAACTTCTTTCTTATTTTTATTTTTTTTAAGATTTTATTTGTTTATTTGACAAGAGAAAGAGATCACAAGTAGACAGAGAGGCAGGCAGAGAGAGGGAGAAGCAGGCTCCCCGCTGAGCAGAGAGCCCGATGTGGGGCTCGATCCCAGGACCCTGAGATCATGATCTGAGCCGAAGGCAGAGGCTTTAACCCACTGAGCACCCAGGCGCCTCAAGGACGCCCAATTTCTTAAACATCTCTGATTTTCCAGCAGCATCTTAATTTATAATCTTAATTTAAAAAAAATGGTGAGAAAAGCCAGTGTCCTGCAGACACATGGCACAAATGCTACCAGAAGCACAAAGAACCCATTTACAGGGTCAAGAATAATATAAGCTTATAGCTCCAGGTGTAGAATGATCTGATAAGCAACCTTAACAAACTTTACATGCCCTTTTGGAACATATTAAACAAGCTTATTACAGTGATTTGCATTTTTATTTAACATGTTTTTAAAATTTAGAGACATCTTTATATTTAAACTTTTTTCTACATTGCACACCTGAAATGATAGGACATTGTATGTCAACTATATAGCTATTAAAAAAGTATCTTCTTTTTAAGTTGAAGAAAAAGTAGAGAAGTAGAGCCTCAGGGAAAAGGGAAACTCCAGCCATGAAAGGAACTGTAGCAAAGATCTGGTGTGTCCCCAGCTTCAAGGGTAAGTTGAAAAAAGACTTGGGCAGCAGTCAGGCCCCTGTCCGTGGTTAGGCTTTGGCCTGCACTAATCTCTGCTACTTCATGTCAATCCCAGCTACTTGAGGGGACCACTGGCCAAATTTTGGCCAACTGTGCCCAAGAGTGCATGCTGTCCCCTGTGGTGGAATCTCAAAGGTAGAGCTACCCAGAGGACAGTTCTGTTTCTACCACAAAGATAAGGAGTTGTCTGATTAAAGCCATTTGATTTTTCCTTATTGAACACATATCAAAATGTAACTATCCACTCCATTACCTTCCTAACAAGCCAAGAATTTTCTCTTCTCTCCCCAATCCTTGTTCGGACACTGCAGAGTGTTCACTGAGCCGATGTGGTGTTGTGCCCCTGGCCACCCCTGCCCCACTAGATACTCGGGGGATTCTCTTTGCTAGCATTACAGCTAACACCGCAGTGAATGCCTACAGCATTTTCAATCTGTTAAATTGAGTCATTAGCTGGACGAGAAGGTATGTGCTATGTCTTTCAAAGCTTCCATGTTTGCCAACGGTTTGCAAAGAGATGACCGACAGCTGGTCACGGTCTGTAATACAATTCCATGGATGTTTCTGTTTGACAGACTTACTGGTCTACTTAGAAATCCACTTAAAAACAAACAAAAGGGCCACACACAGTAGCAATTTTCCTATTTTTAAAAAATGCGGATAGTTTTGGGAAAACGAAATGGGAGGCAGGCCATGTCCTGTACCACTGATGAGACCAAGGAGCTTGAAGAATGACAGGCTCCTCTGGCACCTGTCACAACACCAGTTCTTTGGTTCCAACATTTCATGACAAGAAATGGAATGAATGCTGGAGGATTAGTATACAACATATAGGTCTTCCTTTTGGAACTTTAAAGGTTGGAATGTTCTTTCCTGTCTGGCTTAGAATCTGAAATAAGAAGAGATGGATTTGGGGGAGGTCTCTCCTTGCCTTTGCTGAGGTTCCTGTCTGCAGAGAAGAGTCTGGATGGACAAGTAAGCTGGCAAGCACCCTGACTCTGAAGGCAAATCTGGGCACTAGATCTAGGTAGGCATATCCTGACTCATAAATCACCGAGTCCCACGGAGCTAATCCAAAAGGGGCTTCCTTCATACTGGGAGGCTGAGCCAGATTAAATCCCTTCAATCAAAAGACTGTCTTCCCTAACCCAGAACAAACGGGAGGACAACTGTGAACTGTCTCCAAGAGATAACTTTATTTCTTCCTCTTCCAAGCACCATACATTCATTCCACAAAACATTTACCGAGTGAGCACCGACTGTGTGCCAAGCACTGTGTCAAGTTAGAGCAAAAGTGTACAACACAAAATACAATCTCCAAAGGAAATGGATTTAAACTTAAAAAAAAAGGAATTTGGGTCAGGCATCAGAGGAAACTTACTGACCGTGAGGGGCGTAAGACACAGGCATGGGAGACTGAGGGAGCTTGTGCAATCTCCTCCGCTGGAGGTCTATAAAGATAGTCTAGAGCTGGAACAATCCCACCTAGAGGCAGGGGGAAGGACCAAATGACCTCACAACATCCCTGGGTCTGCTTCAGCATCCACAGTGCAATTCCCCTGGCAGGCCAGCAGCAACTCCCTCTTCCCCTCACCCGCCGGAGGCACTCACCACTGAGCTCTTCTCAAGTAGGCTTTTATATAAGTGGCATCGAGCTTCACTGCACTCGTGCAGTCTTCTATTGCATCATCTAGTTTCCTAAGCTTCAGGAGAGAGAGAGCAGTCATACTTCACATCTCTGCAGACCGAGGGAGCCCAGAGGCTGTGAGCACGGCTTCAAAATTCTAAGAGGATCAGTCATGCTGGCCCCCCAACTGTCACACTTACTCTCGGTCACTGAGAAAGCCAGTGTCTCAGAGGGCTAAGGACACCAGGTTCCAAACTGGTTTCTCTTCTACGGGATGGAAGCCAGGCACACTTACATGCAGGGATAAAGCACCTTTGCCATTCTGGGATAGTGCCCAGACGAGACACAGAAATAGGGTGGTTCCTGCCCTCCATTCTCCCAAAGGCCAATGAGAGGGGTAAAATTGCTCTGATTTCTTTTTTTTTTTTTAAGATTTTATTTATTTATTTGACAGACAGAGATTACAAGTAGGCAGAGAGGCAGGCAGAGAGAGAGGAGGAAGGAGGCTCCCTGCTGAGCAGAGAGCCCCATGTGGGGCTCGATCCCAGGACCCTGAGGATCATGACCTGAGCCGAAGGCAGAGGCTTTAACCCACTGAGCCACCCAGGCGCCCCAATTGCTCTGATTTCTAAACACTGGAACACTGTAAGAGCAAGGAGCCTGCTGTTGTTTCTTATGGTACAAAGGACTACAGTGGGCCCGCAGACTGTTTCCAGCCGAGTGCAGTGAATATTACTTAGGATGGACAAAAAATCTAAGCCTGTCTCATACTCTAATTTCCTCCAAATCACTCCTAAGAAAGAAATAACCACTTGCTTAGGCCAAAAGCAGCAATAACATTTGCATAAAAAATTATCCCAAAGCCTCTAGGCATTCTCTTAGTGGAGGAAAGGGATCTCGAGGAAGAACCGGTAGGAATAGCCTTTCAAACTGTCCCTCAAGTGCCCTTCAATTCCGCGGAAAAGGTAAAAGCTTGCCTTTCAGAAGGAAGTTCCTAACAAGCTGAGCCTTCCACCAAAACCACCTTTTCTTCTTTCACCTGGCCTCCCCTCATTAGGCAGAGTCCCCAAGCCCTCTTTGATGTCCCTTAAACATATCTCCACAGGCCCCAACACCCAGACCGAGTGCTTACCTTGGAATTAACCGTGCCCCGATTACAGTAGAGTTTTGCATTTGTTTTTATATTGTTAGGGTCTATCCCCAGGGCTTCTGTGTACAGTTCATAGGCTAGCTTGAAATTTCCTTCTTTAAATGCTTTATTCCCATCTTCTTTCTTTGCTTTAAGTGCTTTGGCATTCTACAGGAAAAGCAAGGGGAGATTAGTTCATAACCAGGAAACCTCAGGCCACTATAACAGAGAGGTCCAAGTCTATTTTCAATTTCACAGATCCCAGCTGTTTAGCATCACCCTGACCCTGACCCTGACCACCCCCCTCAACCCCCTGCCCGGCCCCCACCCCCTGGCCTATTTGTTGCTCACTGGTGCTTCCTACAGCGTGGACAGGTAAAACCAAGATTTACAAAAGAACAACAAGGAGACTCGTTTACCCAGGTTTTACCTCCACTCCCTAGGATAAACATTACTATTTCTTCTTCACTGAGGGAAGAAAAAAAACACACTTAGGTATTAGAAGGATCTGACCCTGTATGATCACATTTACCCTTGGATCAATAAAAGGTAGTTCTGAAATAATTTCTAATAAAAGGATGAAGCATCCTGGCAAGGTGGGCAAAGGAGCTATCATATTTCATATGGGCCTTGAACCTTCCACTCTTGACTCTCTTAAAGGCTCAAAAGGGAAGCTTTTTTTCCTACTCAGAAGTGGGGCCTAGAACTTACTCTGCAAGCAATGCAGGCCTTCTCATGGTCAGGAGCCATCCTGAGAGCCTGTACAAAAAACTGAACCGCCTTCTCAATACAATCTTCATAATAAAGGCAAAGACCTCGTACATACAGAGCATCCGCATTGGTAGAATCCATTCGTAAAATGTCACTGCAATAGCCGGAAAGGGGCACATTCAGCATGGTTTGGATCTCCCCACTATCATTTGTGATTACTCTTGCCAGCTTTTCTCTTGACCATGTGTCTAGTACAAAAGTATCCAAATGTAGACAGATCCCAATGAGCTCTTCCCATATCTTCGCCAAATAAACCACCTGCATTTACCCTTAATACACTTCCTGTGTCTCAGTCTTTGTTAGAGATTGGCAAACTACAGCCCACAGGGCCCGATCCTGCCTGCCACTGTTCATATAAATTAAACTGTACTGAAATCAGGCCACGTCATCCACTTATCTGTTATCAGCGGCTGCTTCTGCACTACAGTGGCAGAGGTGAATGGTTGCGACAGAGACTGTATGACCTACAAAGCCTAAAATATTTACTACCTGGCCCTTCACAGAGCTCGTAAACCTGTGGGGTAGGAAGAAAATGACATTAAAACAAATAAACAAAAAGCCACATCTCACACATGTGTTCTCCCACATGGAGCTGAAGTTCCTACTGTACTTCTACGTGTCTGGTAGGTTTTCAGATCTTGTCTAACTCTGGCTTTAAGTCCCAGGAAGGTCTGCTCAGCTCTACCTGGTCTATACCTACACGACATATGGTGGTACAGAGAGCTGCCAGACAGCACCTGTCCAGTGGCGGGACAGTTCAATACAGAACTGGCCTGACTTCATACCTGGCCACAGACTGTGCTTCCGGGTAACGACCTAGCATTGCTAAACATTCTGCTTTGAGGATTTTGAAGCGATGGCAGGCAGGGGCAAATTCTAGGGCACGATCCATGCAGAAAACCACCTATGGGGAGAAGAAAGAAAAGAAGGCTCTTCATTCTGGATTCCAGAAGTATCTTCATTTATTAAATATTTACTTATTCATTAAATATCTGGCCATGACCAACAGACAGATTAAAAAAAAAGCAATATCAGAGCCTAGGAACATACCTAATTCTTTTGATTAAACCACTGAAACAAGGGGAGAAACTGATCCAGATTCTAATGACACAAAAACAGCAAACATTGAAGTACTTTATATACTGACCGAGTTAATGCTCACAACAATTTTATAATGTAATTTTATGAAGTACCTTATTTTATCAATGAGAAACTAAACTAAAACACAGAGATAAAGGAAATGTGTTCAAGGTCACCAAAGCTAGTGACAGAAGCAGGATTTGGTCTCAGACACTCTAACTCCAGAGCCTGTTAATCACCATGAGAAGCTGCCTCCGTAGTGACTGGGACCAAAATTCACATTCTTCTTAGTGTAGAAATATGGTTATTTGCTACTCAGCATAACTTACCATGCTTAGCCTATTACATAAGACAAGCATACCTAAAATTACCTGATAAAGAATCATTGCTCCCTATATTACTATAAGTGCTTACTGTTCCCTCCTCCCTGTGCCACGAGCCTCATTAAGCACCCTGGTGGCCACCCTTCCACTTCTATTTTATTTTTATTTATTTTTTATTTTTCTAAAGATTTTATTTATTTATATGACAGACAGAGATCACAAGTAGGCAGAGAGGCAGGCAGAGAAAGAAGGGGAAGCAGGCTCCCTGCTGAGCAGAGAGCCCGATGTGGGGCTCGATCCCAGGACCCTGGGATCATGACCTGAGCTGAAGGCAGAGGCTCAACCCACTGAGCCATCCAGGCGCCCCTTTATTTATTTTTTAAAAAGTTTATTTGTGAGGGGTATAAGTGAAGGCGGAGGAGCAGAGGGAGAGAGAATCCTCAGACTCCCCACTGAGCATGGAGCCCAACACAGGGCTCAATCCCAGGACCGACTGAGCCACCCAGGCACCCCTCCACTTCTATTTTAGTAGAAATATACCAATAAAATGGTTGGTTTTAAATGCTCCTAAAGAGACTGTATAAGACTACTATACTCCACATGCTAAGATATAAACCAAAAGGGGTTTCTCTCACACACATGCGCACGCTGGGATTACTTATCTTTCAGCTTGATAAAGCCTCTCCACATCTTCCTTTTTTCTCTTTTCATAAGTTTGTTCTCTGAGCCTTCACTTTTTTTTTTTTTTAAGATTTTTTATTTTATTTATTTGACAGAGAGAGATACAGCAAGAGAGGGAACACAGTAGGGGGAGTGGAAGAGGGAGAAGCAGGCTTCCCGCTGAGCAGGGAACCCAATTCCGGGCTTGATCCCAGGACCCTGGGATCATGACCTGAACCAAACACAGATGCTTAATGACGTCTGAGCCACCGAGGCGCCCAAAGTCTTCGCTTTTGATTTAGCTGCTATTTCTGGGAGGTCCTTGCTGAATCATATTCTCGTCAAGGATAAATGACCCGAAGGAGGAATGTGGAATTAAGAGACACCATTTTGTCTAAGAATCTGGCCATGGGGATCAGAAAGAAATGAAGTTTGAAAGCTCAGAAGTAATAATGGGCCAAATTCCAGCAACAGGCAACTGGTTAGACATTCATATAATGGAATACCGATTGGCTCTAAAACAGAATGAAGCAACTTTCCATGTATTACTACAGAAAGACTTCCAAGATCTACTAAATGGAAAAAAAGTAAGGTCCACAACAGTGAAAAGCATATAACCTTTCATATAAAAAAGGGAAAATCAGGACTCTGTATTTCTATTTGCTTACATATGTACAACCAAACTGTATGGGAACAGAAGAAATAAGACCAGAGATTACTTGAGGGGGTGAGAACTAGGCCCATAGAAGTGTGAGGGAATACCTATCACTGAGTATTATTTATACTTCTACCTCCCCCACTCCACCAATACTTCTCTAATTTTTAAACGATGAATAGCACCTACTCAAAAATCTGAATTTGAAAATATGCAGAAGAAAGAAAACACCAAGAGCTGCTCCACTGGGAAGACTGCAGTGTTCACAGAGCAATGTGGGGGGAGAACTCTCTCTCGGGGCATAGGTCACTATCCTAGAAGTTCTAAGGATACTATGAAAATTCAGATATCATGTAGGGTGGAGTCATGGTGCTAATTTTTTCTCCCTTAAATAAAAAAAGAACTGGGGAGGGAGGGGAAGCAATCAGATGTAAGCAGCCACACCCCGTTGCATTCGCAAGGTTCTGTGTGGAGATGGTTCTACCCGTCGTCGGGTCAGTGGCGTGTCAGCTGAAGGCTCAGTGCTTCACTTCCCACCCCCCAACCCCCATGACTACGGACAGCTGCAGGCAAAGAAGATCTTTGTTTCTTCCGAGTTCATCTGTTTCCCTGCCAGGATCATAATTCTTCATTTGTGACATCACCATGAGCTACAGTGGGGGGGGCTGGGATGTCACAAACAGAGGATTCTGTCACAAACTGGGGATTCTGGCTCCAGAGTGGGCAAGAGAGAAAAGAAACTCTAAAAACTGCCTTTTGAGACAAAGCTTTTGCCTATGTAAACCTCTGAAAACGTGACAGAAGGCAGAATCGCTTTCTAAACACACACACACCCCTCAAAAAACTTATGAATCACAGTACAAAGACACTGTGGTTATTAAAACCAATGGACAGAAGAGGGATGCTAATGAGTTAATGCTGGGACTCTGCATAAGCTAATCACAAATATTTATTACCAAATACCTACACATTTTGTTACTTAAGAAGAGGGGCACCTGGGTGGCTCAGTGGGTTAAAGCCTCTACCTTCGGCTCAGATCATGATCTCAGGGTCCTGGGATCGAGCCCCCGCACTGGGCTCTCTGCTCAGCAGGGAGCCTGCTTCCCTTCCTCTCTCTCTGCCTGCCTCTCTGCCTACTTGTGATATCTGTCAAATAAATAAATAAAATCTTTTAAAAAAATAATTAAGAATAATTCTAAAAAACAATAGTAATTCTTAACTGTACCCTTTTATCAAACGTTTATTGAGTACATTCTACAGAAAGCACTGAGCAAATTCCCACATATGAAGTAACAATCTGTTCCTTGGATGATACAAACCTCTTGTAAGTGATCCTGAAAACTGATCCTAATCAGTGGTTTTTACCTTCTTAGGGGACTATTCACCTTCCCTTTTGAAACTCTAATGAAAGTTATCACCTAAGCAGGGAATTGAGAATTTTTTTTTAAATTTTATTTATTTATTTGACAGACAGAAATCACAAGTAGGCAGAGAGGCAGGCAGAGAGAAAGGGGGAAGCTGGCTCCCTGCTGAGCAGAGAGCCTGACTCAGGGCTCCATCCCAGGACCCTGGAATCACAACCTGAGCGGAAGGCAGAGGCTTTAAGCCACTCAAGCCACCCAGGTGCCCCAGGAATTGAGAATTATACAGATGAGGCATAACCACTATTAACAAGAGCTACAAAGATATCTAGAACTTTTATACCTTTCCCATGCTTTCAGACAGGTGAACCCTTTTGGCATGTAAATTTTCATGGACTATCACACAGCTCCATAAAGGAGAGTAGTGTGCTTTCACAGAAAGGCCTAACATCAAAACAGTAGTGATGACAGGTTACATACATTGGTCAAAAATCTGTAAGGAGCCTCTATTTTTTATTTAGACCTGTATCTAATTCACACAAAGCAGGAGTTAAAACTAGCTCTCATTCAAATTAAAATGGATTACCCAAACCTAATATTTAATTCTAGCTAGTATTCCCTCTATTAGCCAGCACACTCTTAGGCTACTATCTTATATCAAAAGCAGGAACAAACTCGAGTAAACTCACACTGCTTTTTATCATAAAGCCAAATATAATTAGAAAATAAATACCTTTGCAAAAAAATTTTTAGATGCCATTTTGGTAGTTTCTTATAAAACTTAACATGCTTTTACCACATGATCCAGCAATTGCCCTTCTTGGTATTTACCCAAAATGGGTGAAAACTTTTATCGACACAAAAACCTGCACGCAGATGTTTAGAGCAGCTCTATTCAAAACTGTCAAAACCATGATTGTAACACATGTGCCCCTCAGCGCCTGGGTGGCTAGTTAAGCATCTGCCTTCAGCTCAGGTCATGATCCCAGGGTCCTAGCTTCCTGCTCAGTGGGGAGTCTGCTTCTCCCTCTCCCTCTGCCTTTCCCTCATGCTCCTGCTCTCTCTGGTGCACTCTCTCTCTCAAATAAATCTTAAAAAAAAAAAAAAAAAAAAAAGTGCCTTTGGTGGGGAATGTTGATAATGGGGGAGGCTATGCATGTGTGGGGGCAGAGGGATACGCAAACTCTCTGTACCTTCCTCTCAATTCTGCTGTGAACCTGTTCTTAAAAAAAAAATACTCTAAAAAAAAAAAAAAGAAAAAGAAAAAGTCAAACTGAAGTGGTAATTTATTATTCTGGATCTTCTGTACCATACTACCTACACCCACACCCACCCACCAACACACACACACACCCCTTCTGTACCATACTACATACATCCACGCACACATGCACGCGCACATGGGGAGCCTTGTAATAAAGGGTAGATAAGATTTCCCCATAGTTGTACTTTACCTTCCGAAAATCCCGCTTCTCAAAATCTGTTTCTGCTATTTTCTCATATTCTATGACTGCATTAGCATTCTTGAACTATATGAGAAAATCAGATAAGGGAAAGTTTTAATGATGTTGTAAATTCAACAACCACAAAAAAATCAAGGTTTTGATGAAATATGAGTTCAAGAAAATCAGAACCACAGACTTTTCACAAATCAAGTTGGTGAAGATGCAGCTGTGACCTCAGTTTGAACTTCAAGTCAGGAAAACCAGAGTCATGCCCTGACAGACATAAATTAAAGGAACGGCATCATCAGAGGTTGAGCAGAAGTTTCCAGATTCTCACTAAAACGCATCCAGGAGTAAACTGGGAATAAATGGAAATGGAACTAAAACACATTTTAGCTGCTACTGATTTAATCAGGATTTGAATTAACTCAAATACTTTAACCTCACTCAAATCCGTTCCTTGCAGCATCTCTCTGCTCCACAGCCATCTCAGAAACCCTCCATTTTACAGATTTCTAAATTATAAATAATATTTAAAACTTTGTCTACATATAAGAAACTGAGGCTCAGACTACAAGACTTGCCTATAGTGACCCAGGTGTGGCAATGCCAGAAGTGAAACTAGCTCTCCGTTCTTTTTTTTTTTTTTTTGAGCTCTCAGTTCTGACTTTCAGGTCACTATACCCCAGTGTCTCTTTCCATATGGACAAGACCAGAACCATACCTCCTGTTGTGCCTGAGCGTTTTTGTGATCCAGTTCTAGGGCTCTCTGGAAACTACGACATGCCGCCATGGCATTCCCTAGAGATAGGTGGCACTTGCCCTCTCGTAGATGTCCCTAGAAGAAATGCAAAGAGCAAAGAAAAGGAGCATGATTGGCCAAGCAGAGAGCAACCAACAGCAGCAACAAACACCCACACAAAACCAGCATGGGATGAAAGTGCCAGAGCAGCGGTTCTCACCCAGGGGAGATTCCGCCCTCCATGGGACGGTTAGCAACGTTGGAGACATGTTTGGTTGTCACAGCCGGGGAGAAGGGGTGCTACTTAGACCTAGTGGTTAAAGAGATGCTGCTAAACGTCACACAACACACGGGATAGCCCCCCACAACAAAGAATTATCTGGTCCCAAGTGTCTACGGTGTCAAGACGGAGAAGACCTGGGCTAGAGGAACGCAACTGCAGCAACCAGTCCTCCCCACGGATGGTCACATTACGTACCCGGACGAAACTGTCATCCAACCTCACTGACTGCTGTGCATCCCCAAGAGCTTCCCGGAACTTTCCAAGCATCATCAAAGTGGCAGCTCGATTCCCATAATAGCTAGCATTTTTAGGACACATATCTACAGGAAAGGCAGAAGATAATAAAATAAAGCTTAGCATGGGTCACTGCTTCAAAAACGCAGGGGCCATCTCCCCTCAGAACTACATCAAGGCAATCAAACTATAATAGGAATGCTGACATACTCTAAAAGGCCACGGCCGAAATTCTGACTACCTGTGCAAACAGCAGCAACAGTACGACCAATTAAAAAAATAGTTACTTAAAAATAATTTGATAGCTTTAAAATGCACTGATTATCCTTTAAAGGGGAGGGGCCAGCACATTTATCTTCTTAATGAATTGTATTACAGATAATGAGAGATAAAAATGAATTTGCATTTGTTGAATTAGGGTTGGAGAGCCTGTAAGCAAGTTAGGTGAGAAACACGCTGACATGGGATTAAAATATGCTGGCAGATGAGGCACGAAAGTTGTTAAGATCTGATAATTAATATCCATAAGGGCCATTTTCTAACATGGTTAAATGAGCCGGAAATGGCTGAGATGCATGTAGGCGGATTATCTTTTTGCCATATCTAGAATTTCTGGACTTGCCTTTAATTTGTCAAATGAAGAACTACCCATTTATTGGTCATCCCTCATAAGCCAATTAAGTTTGAAAGATTTCACAGAGTAAGTTATGAACCCACTAAGCCAAAGGCTACTTTTTCACGAGGCGCTATTTATAATAGAATTTATATTTAGCAAATTTATCTTCCAACATAAGCAGCAGGTCCTTCTCACCTATGGCTTTTGTATAATAGTTATAAGCTTCATTGTAATCTTTCTTGGCATAGTATGCATTTCCTTGTTCCTTGAAAGACTCTGCTTCCCTGAAAAGGAAAGAGAAAGAGGAGCATGTTACACACAAGGACTCACCTCTGTAATCTCATGGGAGCAATCTTTGGTCTAGAGCCCCAAGCATACTGAGCTGAAAGTTAGTGTGATACTTGAAGGAATTTATAGATTTGTTTGATGCTATTTTTTTGGTCACTTAGATACATTCAAACTAAACAAAGAAAACTTCTCTCATGTTACCTGCCTTTCCTCGCTATTCCTGCCTATAGTCATATCCCCTACAACAAGTAAATTTAGACATCCTCTCACAGAGACTAAAATTTTTAAAGTTTATTTATTTATTAAATAATCTCTACACCCAACATGGGGCTCAAACGCATTATCCCGAGATCAAGAGTTGCATGTTCCCCTGAGCCAGCCAGGTGCCCCTGAATTTTTACATTTGTTTCCTTTTCACTGTGTCACTACTGCTGCCTCTTTAGCAAACATAAAAATTCAGTTACAGATCACTCCATTCAGGGGCAATGATTTCTGAATGTGAAATGGGTCACATCCTTAGAGTTCTATTGATTTACTTTCTTGAAAACTGGCTCATCCATTTGTCACTGAAAGGACAAGCAGAGCAAAAGCAGGTGCCAAAGGAGTTAAAAGCACAGCATATTGGTGTTTAAGATGGAGGACGGAGCTGAGTGACAGCAGAGACCAAGAACTTGGATAACAGGGACATATGAGGTATAGCCTGCAAGTGCCATGCTCTCATTTGTACCCATCTACTGATGTTCTCTCTGCCTATCAAATCTATGTGGGTACTTATGCCCCCCTACCGTTCCTATAGTACCTGTATAACCACCAAGTGGATAATACTAGAATTTCTGCCCTATTCCAAGATCCATTTTTGAAGCTGTGCCATTAGACAAACTGTACTTTCTGAAAGGAATAATGTTATGTAAGGAGAATTATATTCCAGATCAAGGAACGAGAATTGGGTAAGACATGAATAACAATGTTTTAAAAGAACTAGTAACCTCTACCAAAGATAACACCAAATCATTTTAATGACCAAACTGAGTGACAAAGATTAATTCTTTACCCAAGTGATTCCTGCAACATAACTAAATATCTGAGCATTTTTGTAATAAGGAAGAATCTGTTTCTTTTTCTGTCCTCTACACACCCAAAAAAGAATCCAGTGCAAGGGATGTAGGGACAGAAGTACCTAATTCTTAACATAGTGATGGTATGGGAGTTTACAGCTTGAGTCTATGGACATCAGCACTGGGAAGATTTGATTTATTTACTTACATATTTTAAACTATAAAGTGGCAAAGCCGCCCTCCTTTTATTGAGGTGATCTCCCTTTGCATTCTTCTCCAGTACTGTCCTGGCAAGCTCTACTAACATAAAAAGGCTGCTAGAAGAAAGGAGAAGGAAAATGGGAATGATCTATAAATGTTGACAGATTTGAACTGTGATGGACATAAATCTGTTTGAATAATTTACACCAACTGGTACAATGCTATAAAGCGGCCATTTGCTTTTAAAAGTCCTCAAGAAGGATCTCCCCAACTGCAAGATTTACAGGACCAACTGCAACCTTTCTACATGGTGTACACCATCCTGCAGCTCTAAATTAAGCAAGGCACTATAAAACTATGAGGAGCCTATCCTTTAAGAGGAGACATGTCAAGAGATCTGAAGAAAGGGCTTCCCCAACACTGGATGTCAGAAGCTGAGTCAGACGACTGTGAAGAAATGGAGTGGTAATTCAAAGGAAACATTGGGCATACAGTGCACCTAAGAAGACCTACTCTTCTCTTTAGCTGGCTGGTGGCTAAGAATACACAAATCCTTGAGGAAAACCAAGGGTATCTAGGCCCTTGAAAAGACACCGTAATAGCAGTAGAAAGCTTGTTAGTCAAAGCGGAAGCAATCTGCAGAGCTACAGAAAGGTGCCCTTTCTTTCCTAAAACACCAACTTTCGTGGAGGCGAGGGACTTCAGCACCAGCTTCTATAAAAACACAAAAAATGATTTCTGTGGAAAGCCAAAAATAATTTCTGAAGCCTGGCACTTTCCATGCGTTATCTTCCTACCAGGTGTTACATTATTCCCATTTCTCAGAGAAGTTAAATAAGGGCCAGAGATTAAAAACTGGCCCAGGGTCAGGATGTCAAGCCACATGTGACAGATTCCAAAGCTTTTGCACTGTCTACCATGCTAAGTTTCTCTCCAATGCTCATCTCTAGCTATTGCTTAAGACTTTAAAAATTAATCTGTCCTGCTAGAAACAAGACATGGGCAATGAATGTGAATTTGTTCACACTAAGACATAAAATAGCTCCAGCATATAAAATCCAACTCCAGAACTACAATCTGGATTTAAACAAGCTAAATGACATTCCTAACAATTAGTCACAGAGAGAGCAGGGCTCCTTTCTCTTTAAGATATAAGACCTAGTGAACTGGACTTTGCCTCCCCCAAGAAATGCATTTCATTTTAGTAAATGGTGAGTAGATTCCATTCTAGAGCAAACAAAGCGAGTAATGTAGAGTCAGCCCACAGCAGAAAGAACAAGAAGAATTGTGTTGTGACAAGTTACCATGTTTTTAATCTCACACTGCACAGCATCAGGCCAGAATTAGCTATTCCCACACAACTGCCTCATGAAAAGGACTTATTTTCATAGAAACATGGTTGATTTACAGCTGCCTGAACAATGGGCACTTAGTGCTTTTAGGCTGAATGCTTATTTTTTGCCTCCAGGTCTAACTCCCAAAGTGGAGTCCCTCCATCATTTTGAACCTCCCCACCAAATACACGACATGCTTTAACCAATGGGCCTGACCCTGTGAGACCAGCCGAGGAAAAAGTGGATCTTTGGAATCCAGCATGGCAGCAGCAAGAACTGAACAAGGCTGCATCAGGAACAATTCCAGGGTCAAATCCATTCAAGTCCTGCCCTGGGAGTCTGAGAAAGGGCTGAGGCTTGTTCAAGTTGCCCTTCAGCAAAGGGACTGAAGGATGAGATGTCAAAGGCGTGGGACTGGAAAAGAAGGAGAAGAGCTGGTTAACGAGGGAATTGAGGGCAGTCTGGTGCTGGTATCTGTCACTCCACTCACCGCCAGCATCAGTGGATTGGAAACCAAGTGAAGTTACAACATGTAGCTACCAAAACATATCAGCACTGAGAAAGGAAGGACTGGAATTAATTAGGTCCGCCTGGACCAACCAAAAAGAAGAAAGAGGTGCACAATGGACTAAATGACACTACAGGTTATTTTCTATGGCCACAAAATAAAATTCAGACTAAACCCTGAAATATAATACCACATCAAGATAGAGACTTGGCCATAACTGACCTATTAATAGCTACACTACATCTCTAGAACTTTTTCAGATTTCGAAGGCATTCCATGGGCCTCCTGAAGTGGTTAAGGCAATATTCTCTCAGGTCCTTCAACAGAGGAAGAGCCAGTGAAGTATCCAAGGCAGCTGCACAGGCGGCCTAACTCTGACAGTCCCAGATTTTTTTCCCACTAGATCCTGTTAGCCAATGTCAAGGTTTTTGGATTAAAACTAATTTATCTAGTTTCCCACCAAATCTCTAAGCAGAATAAGCTTCATCTCTGACTTGCCAGGAGATGCTGGGAAAGACTCTACCCTCCACCAAACCAGTCCTTTCACTTTAACAGCCAGCAACAAATTCCTATGAAAAGAGATACTGAAAGATTTTTAAAAACTTCTATCCTCTTTGGAAGTACCAGGGGGCGGGGGGGTGGGGGGTGTTCCACCACAACAGAGACAGTGCTGGAGGACCTGGGCAGCCTTCTCTCTGACAGAAACAGGTAAGGAGACTACATTCCACTCTTGGTCTGCTTTGCTGTTTTAAGATGTATTTCTTTATTTTTTGGAAATAACTTCGTCAATCAGAAAACTGCAGCCTGACACCTGCTCTTCTACACTACACGTGTTAAAAATCTGTATATCCTCTGATCATGCAATTATATTCTCTCTCCCCCAATGCAGCACTCATTCATCACTGACACTAATTACTCCAACGAACAGTGCCAAGGGAACCATTTGGTATCACACAGGTCTTAGCAAGGCTCAGCATCATGAGACCAATTCAGACGACTTGGGCTTATGATGACCAGTCAACTCTGCACGTTTATAGCTCAGCTAAATTAAACATACATTCAAACACCACACTTCACATTGCAATGGGACCCAAATTAGATGCCCTGTAAAAATCTCCATTGTCTTTCTCAATACTTCCAAGTTGAATGGTAAAGCAAGATCTTCACCTTCGACCAAGTGGTCTATCTTTTAGCAATGAGAGAGTTAGAGAATTTTACTCATCAGCTTTCATGAATGCAGAGTACACTGGGTGGCAGTTTTGGAAAACGCCCTCAATATGACTGAGTTCTCTTTGGAAATGCTTCACATTTCATGTATTTGTGTATTATTAAAATGGGGATGAGATGCTTCAGTATCTGTACAATGTCACTTTAAGGTTTATTACCTCTGTGCATTAAAAAAAAAAAAAAAGTGCGGTGCCTAGGTGGTTCAGTCTATTAACCGTCTGCCTTTGACTGAGGTGTGATCCCAGGGTCCTGGGATGGAGCTCTGGCCCTGGGTTCCCTGCTCAGCGGGAAGCCTGCTTCTCCTTGCTGCTTCTGCTATCAAATAAATAAATAAAATCTTTAAAAAAAAAGGACTATAACATCTGCAGCTTAGGAAATGTGAATTAGATTTTTTTATGAGAAAAACACACCTGTTTTTACTTATTTCAAGTATTTGGCTAGAATAATATATTTTTGATAAAGTCCAGGTCTTCTTCTTCTTCTTCTGTTTTTTTTTTTTTAAGATTTTATTTATTTGACAGACAGATCACAAGTAGGCACAGAGGCGGGCAGAGAGGGGAGGGGGGAGAAGCAGGCTCCCTGCTGAGCAGAGAGCCCAATGCTGCGGGGCTTGATCCCAAGACCCTGAGATCAGGACCTGAGCTGAAGGCAGAGGCTTAACCTACTGAGACACCCAGGCGCCCCAAGTTCAGCTCTTCTAATAGCCATTAATAATACTTTAAATCAAGGTGCACCTGGGTGGCTCAGTGGTTAAGTGTCTGCCTTCAGCTCAGGTCAAAATCCCAGGGTCCTGGGATCGAGCCCCACCATCAGGCAGGAACCCTGCTTCTCCCTCTCCCACTCCCCTTGCTTGTATTGTCTCTCTCTGTCAAATAAATATATAAAATCTTAAAAAAAAAAAAAATTTAAATCAAAAGAGATACAGAAGCTTGAATGAGATTTTTTTTCTTTTTTTTTTGCATTTTCTTGATGTATTCGGCTACTTTTGATGTGGAAGAAAAATCTAACTGCTAAAAATACAACTCAGGACAAGATGATTTCTTTTGTTAGAGCACAGAGGAGTGTTTCAGGGCCTTGGCTTCTGGAGACCATTCTACTGACAGGAAGAATCTCAGAAAAAGCTACCTATTAACAATAACACTTTATACTGTCCCTAAGTCAAATATCCTTTAGGCATTCTTACCATATTTACTACTTCCAAAATGTTACCTTCACTCTGTGACTGTTGCACCCATTTCTCTTATTCAGTCAAGTATACTAGTTGTTCTTTGATCTAGAAACATCCTCCACCCTTTAGAATTTACGGGATCTTGGCCAGTCTCAGAGTAGAAATTCCTTCCTCCTTCCCACAGCCCAAGACCTCTTGTCCCCAAAGGCATGTCAGAGGGCTTGTTTCATGTTGTACTCTCTCTGACCTCCATGAGAGAGTAAGTAAAAGAAGCCCGGGCGCCTTTTATTCCATCTTACCAAACACATACTATTCTTTCTTCGTTTTCTAACTAGTCTACGGATGAAATGACAAGTTTTATCTATACAGGTAGGTGGAGCAATTCCACGGACTCAGCGATTGCTGAATGCAAGGTGCTATATACTGGGTATGAATGAAGGCTTCAAAATGGTCCAGAGAAAACAGAGGGTGGGTTCTCCACCAGGTGGTAAAAGTAAGCTACCCACCTTCCTTTACCCACCTTCCTTTACCTTTGCTTTAGAATAAACAGCTTCTATTTTCACTTTAAAACATAATTAAAATACCAATCCTTCTCCCAAAAAGAGGGGAGGAGACAAAGATGAAGAAAACTCATTAACATACCAGTTCAAGTTGTTCTCTTTCTGAACATTGGGCGGGGAGGGAGGTATGCCTCAACAGGGGCAGAGCCAGGAAAGGACCAAGGGGAGTCACAGATAAAGTCTACACAAGGCAGTAGCACTCTCTACTGCTCAAGTAGGGAAGGACACCAGGCAACACACTGGAGTTGGCAATGTCTTATTCAGTGTGGGGGGGAAAAAGCAATCAACTAATCAATTGACTCAGACAGAAATCCTATTGTTGCCCACAGAAAGATATTCCCATGAAACAGTTGACTCAACCACAATATATTTATGCTAGTTCCTTAAATGGGAGGTGTCACAAGCTGGCATCTACCTAACCTTTACTCCAGGGGAGAGGAGACCCAACCATAATGCTGCCTCTGAGAAACTTCTCAGAAGCCAATCTGAGGACATTAAGTCCTGGCCTCTCAGCAACAGTCAGTCTTGTTTTCATAACATACCCCCAAATCCACCATTTTCTATCCCTTGGTTCCCTACTCTGTGAGATCTCCTACTACCCTCATTGGGACATTAGCACCCAACAAAAATCTAGAACTAAGGAACTATAATTAAGAAAAAGGCTGCTTTCTGAGTTTTGGGGGGAGGGAGGGGTGGAAGTGGGAACCAGAGTGGGGAGTCTAGATTGTCAACTGGTATGTGGCTTCTAAAGTTCTCACAAAAAATACTAAAATAAAGTTATCTTGGTTCCTTACTTTAACAGGTGATTGACTATCTTGGAGCAAACTGTCGGAGGAAGAACTTGCAGGACAGAAACTCCCAAGAATAAGAGAAAAATGTTGCTTGCCTGATATACCCTCCCCAAAAGCCTAATAATAGAATCAAAAGAGATGGTTAACACTTTGCTTATCTGACAATCTGGTCTCCCCACAAAAATGAGACACAGAATATTAGGGGTCAGAATTAGACTCTGAAAGTCAAATATTCCTCTTCATATTTTCTTTTTTTTTTTTTTTAAGATTTTATTTATTTGACAGAGATCACAAGGAGGCAGAGAGGCAGGCATAGAGAGAGGGGGAAGCAGGCTCCCTGCTGAGCAGTGAGCCATGTGGGGCTCGATCCCAGTACCCTGGGATCATGACCCGAGCCGAAGGCAGAGGCTTTAACCCACTGAGCCACCCAGGCATCCCTCCTCTTCATATTTTCATTCTCAAAAGTCTCAAACACTCACACCTCTGCCAATGGTGGGATAAAACACAGGAACTGCTATTTTGATTTAGATGGGGAAGGGAAAAAATTTTCAGTCCAATAAAATGAATAGCATTGAGATAACTTGTGCAATAAATCCTGTTCTTACTGCTGAAATTCAGAGAGTTTAAAAGAATACCTGGAACGACCTCTAAGTAACTTCCACATCACTCAGCACTGAAGAAAAGGGACCAAACATTAGTGGAGTAAGGGAGAAATGGGCTCTCAGAGGGACTGTGCATCAGACCAAGGCACCTAGGTAGCCGCTGACCATTGTTCTCCAATCTTCTAAAGTCCTAGAGAAAAAAAACCAAAGGCAAGTGCCCAGTACTCAGCTTTTAAAAACTTTTAAAATACTAGCTTCAATGACTACACTCATCCCTGATTGGCTAGAATGTTCAATAAGCCTGGGTTTTAAGCCAATCAGATTTCTGGTCGTTGGGAATGGACTAGACACTAGAGCAACTGCCATTCGACTTGGCTCAATTTGGTTTCTGGTTCTGGTCAGTATGTAGACCTGAATTAAAGCAGCAAGGACAGAGAGACTCTTCCTCTGCACTCTACCTTAACTCCAGTTATGATTTAACAACTTTCTAAAAGATGTTTAAGTAATCTCTACACCCAACATGGGGATGGAACTCACAACCACAAGAACAAGAGTCGTATGCTCTATCAACTGAGCCAGCTAGGCTCCCCTGATTTAACAATTTCACCACTTTTAACATCAGGTTCAATTAATCAATTAATCAATCAAGTTCAATCCTGGTATTCGGGATTCTGTATTCCTAACTTTATCCTTTCCTTAATCATGACTTATTTGTCCCGCCTCCCATTTCTCCACCTCTGACCCCACATTTAAAGTATACCAACATGAAAATGAAGGGTGAAAGCAGTGTTTTCACTGACTTGAATTTAAGGTCAAAGATAATATCCCCTTCAGCCTGTGGGCTTACTGAAATGTTTAGCTGCCTACCCTGGTACTTCAAGAGAAAATTTAGAGAGACAAATCCCTAAGAATTTAAAACAGAGGAAGAAGAGCTGGGGAGGGCATCCCCACAAGCTCTTCAGTTATGGCCATGAACTCCAAAATGTCCCAGGAAGCTGTAGTAAATAAACAGCAACTGCAGAAGACCCGGAGATATGGATTCAGGGTTCAGTGCTTCCCACCACCAACATGAATAGAGAAATAAAAGACAAACTCTACAGAGTTTAGATACCTGGATACCAAGAAAGGACCTAATGTTCTTGCTTGAGTCCACCATGAAAACAGACACAGAGATAATCAGATCAAGGAATCTGATAAGTATGTTCTATTTCCTAAATCTACAGCTTCCACTGGTTCCTTTAGACCCTATTATCCAGTCACGCTGGATACATGCTGAGACACAGAAGTGTTTCCTCTATTGATGAGCAACTTAAAATCCTTCGATTTTACCATAATAAAGACTACCTACAGATACCTCCCTAGCCCAGGAAATGTGACCAGAGAGCCTTCACTGGAAACAGGGATTCATATATCACATAAAGCAGTCAACAACTTCCCAGGAAAGTGTAACGCTTGAAATTAAATTAAATTAGCTGAATTGTAAAACCTCTGAAATTTAGCTCTCTGGCTCCCCAAGTAGCTTTCTCTATTCTGGTGGGCAAAGAGAAATAAATCAACTTCATGTTCAGAACCCTGATCTATTTTGGAGTGCCAACTAATACATCTTTTATTTTAGCCTCTCAGCTGCTATGGGGGGAAAGAACTTTGTCAGAGTGACAGCCAAAAAAAAAAGTAAATTTCTTTTCTCTCTAGAGACACTAAAGCTAATGAAATAAAACATTTAGCCATTTAAAATGCTGCAACCGTGAGTCCCCACGTCTTGAAAGCTCTTCTCACTTTGCCCCTGTGGGACTGTAACAATTTAGCAGCGGCAGCATGCCCTTGAGCCAAGATGCAAGGAAGGAAGGACTCCTTGTTGGACTGCACAAAAACAACCCAAGAGACCCATCAACTCCTGTGTCCCCAAGTGAACTAGTAGCAGGACTGTAACAAGAGACACAAACTTGGCCAAATGACTAAAGGGCATCTGTAAGGGATGTCCCTATCCCATGCCCTGCTATGGCTACACAGGATTACAGGATACATGAAAAATGTAAAACCACTTTCCTCCCGAACTTCTACATCATCACACAATTTTCAGCACTGGAAAAACATACATAAACAAGGCTTTTTCTTAACAAGAGCATAGTGTTTACTCTCCTAAGGATGCCTTATATGGCAGGAAGTAAAAATGTGATTTTTATTTCACTATATTTTCCTTTCGATTTGCTCACCTAAGTTGTATATAACAAATATCCATGTCTTATTATAACTAAAAGAGATCTATATAAATATGTATTACGTATAAGTCTATTTAACAGAGATATATTTTTTTTCATATTTAAATTTACAGTACTTTTCCTCAGTGGTAGATAAAACAACTATGCATTTTACACTGAAGGACATCTTAAATTCTACGAAATAAGGCAGTTAACCTAAGTCAACACCCCTCCTTATTCTGCTGTACTGCTACCAATTACTGTATTATTGTGTGATGTGGTCATGTTACAGCATCACCTATTTTCCATTTCTTAATACAACTTCAGGTTCATTTACTGTAACTTCTGTTGTTTGTTTGTTTAAAAAAGGACCTGCTTTAGATAGAGGGCTTTGAAGTAAAACTCCAATTAGGCACAAAGATCTATACTAAGTAGGAGAAGGTTTTTTTTCAAATTACTACATATAGCCCAGGTCCCTATTTATAGCACACAAAACACCCCCACTGAACTCTTTATAATACCAAGTAAATTCCTGCAATTAATGTAAGCTCTGTCTGTGGGGGGGGGTTGAGATGGGTGGGGGTTGTTTCTCATTTGGTAGTTCCTCACTGATGCTTAATTCTAAACACCTGAGAAGAACTAGGTATGATGTGAAAACTCAAAACTAAGAACAGACTAGACTCTGGTATCCTGCCTTCTCTGATTATCCCTGGGGCTTACTACACACTTTATCAAGCCTCTCAGTTCTCAAGAGATCTCGGGACACAGGGTGCAGTAAACTGCCCTGAAGCTTGGTTACTATTCATTCCGCCATAGTGAGTACCTCCTGTATTTCTAACTTGGATAGTAAAAAATTCTCAAGAATCCTGGTTTCCAATCTCATGAAGCCAGACTGAAGCCATACAGGGTTTAGTACAAAGACAGGAAAGATGAGGGAAAGAGACCGAGGGACTTGTAGTCAATTAATCTGCAGTTGATAGGAAAGGGCTCCGGGCTTTCCCAACCTTTTCCTTAATTCTCCTTCAGCATTAGGACAAGTATAACTACCCACAATCGTGTTCCAACCCACTTCCAACAGCCTGCCTTAGCTGTAGCCAGAATCCAGAGTGTTCTCGAAAACCACTCACTCAGCAGCTCCCTTGGCTAGTCCAGACTGGCAATCTCGAGCCACTGCGGCTGCCCAGCAGTGCCAACAGCGCCCAAACAGTTGCCTTCCTCTCTGCTGTTTAACTTAAGAAAGCACAGCCCTGGGAAGAATGAGGATCTTCCTTCGGAAGGACGGAGGGGCAGGAGTTTGACGTGCAGAGCACGAGAGAAGGCCCTCACTCTTCCTTCTTTCTCTTTCATCTCCGACTTCTGGGGTACGGGGAAGGGACACCAGGTCAATAATGCAGACACACTCGGACCCAGCCTAGTGGTCGCTGGGGTACATTACTGAGCAGTGGGGGTGAGAACAGGGGGTGAAGAGAACAAGGGCTTTGGAGATGCAAAGTGCTGGCAGACAACAATGCACAGAAGTTAACAAGAGAAGAGGGGCCGGGGGGGGCGATGTAAGGAAGTCGTCATCGTCGCCGCGCAGCCTCCCCCACCCCACAACAGATCTCTGAGATTCCCCTAAAAGACCCGGCCTCTACAATAAGGACGACGTTCCTCCTGGCTGGAGAACAAGGCTGTGCCTCCGCTCCCCAACCAGGCGGAAGCAGGAGGGGAGGGCCGACCTCCGGGAGCGCCCCTTCAGAGGGTCTATCCGGACTTCTCTCAAAAGGGGGGGGGGGGGTCGGGTCGCGGAGGGCGGGGCATCGCCTCAACAGGGGTCGCATCATGGCAGGGACGGGTTTCCCGGGGTGATGGAGCTGAAGCTCGCCCCTTCCACTCCCCCGCTACCCGGTTACCTCTTCGCTTCCTCGTCGTCGTGCAGCTCTGGCTCGGTCGCCGCCATTACCACATCGCACTCCGCGGCAGCCGCCATCTTACCGCCGGGACCAGAGAGGCGGGTGGGAGGCAGGCGGTGAAGAGCACTTCCGGCTGGAGCATCGAGCAGCTCAGCAGCGCTGCGCCCAGAGAGGCCCCCTCGGGCCCGTCTACCAGCGAGAGGCTCTGCTTGGGGCCAGAGCGGCCTCCCGCCCCCGGAGGTCCACAGTGGTCTCCGCGCTGGGGCGGGGGCCCAGGGACCGTTCCTGTGCGTAGGGGGCGCCACTTTATCCGTGGGTCGGAAGTGGGGGGGATAAGGAGGGTGACGCCTCTCTAGGCCTGAGTTGTCCTCAGTATGCTGAAAGCTTCGTTGCCATAGCAACTTGCAATCGTAGAGCGTCTCCCGTAAGGTGCAGGAGAGTCTAAGTTGGGTTGAGGACTCGATGACCCAGGACTCCGGAGGGAAAGATCTCCCACTACTACCTTCCCGACCTCGGAGTGTGTCCACAGCTTCCTTCCAGGAAAGGCAAGAAGACACACTTTGAGCCCAGGTCCCTCAGCTTTCATCGGCCCTTGGAAGCCCTGCCCAACCAAGCCAGGGGAACGCAGGGCGTCTTCACCCCGCGCCTTTCATCCCCTCTGGATCTCCAAGCAACAACTGGTTCATCACCCTAATGACGCTGACCCTTTTATGAGGCTGCTTTCATGTCAACTGCCTGGGAGTGCCATCTCAGCATTAAGTCTAGGGAGGGTGGCACGGCGCCCCAGACCCTGCCCTGGAGTTTATAAGGCAGCTCGCAGGGTGAGGTCCCTGCTCCATAGTGTCCCTAGTACTCTCACCCTTTATAGAAACATCCTGCTCAGCACCCTTGTCTTGCCGAATGCAGTCTGGACTGGGAACTCAGACAGGGCAAGGACACAGCTTAATTACGTTTGTAGTACCTCCCTCACCCAAACCAATAGTTTTTGTGGGTATGAATTAAACTGGAGTTTCCTGAGGTTAAATTAGGGGAGTTTGAGGTTAAATTTTTAGAGTTAAGAGGAACTAAAATAAGAAGGGGGCAAGTTAATTTAAAAAGGATGGACTCCTTTCCTCCATTCCTCTCTAGTATGTGCCATTCTCAGTAGGCTTCTTCCAAGGTCCTGCTTATCACAGTGCTAAGGGGGCAGAAACCACACCCACCACGGGGTAGGGAAGGACGGGAAAGCACAGTGGGTGGGAAGAGAGAAGTCATTCAGCCAGACAGTCATTCATTAGCCTCTCCCAAGTGCCTATTTTGTGCTAGTTTGGGAGGGCACAGACTCACAGACCACTTGCCCTGTCTGCCAGTGGCTCATTGTCTACCATCTACTGCAGGAAGCCAACCTGTTTTTAGACTATCTTCCCCCGTGTTCTTTGTATCTAAGCCAACTCATTTACTCTCGTAACTTTAATTTTAGCTGTAGATGACACTGAACTCCGTTGATATCTCTAACCTAGACTTCTCATTTGTGAATTCTAGATCTCTATATCCAATTATCTACTGGGTCTCTTGGGTGTTTCACAAACCCTGGAGACATAATATATTTAAGTTGAACGGGTCATTCTCTCCCCACTTTTCAACAAAAGAAGAAACAAATGCAGTACTTGAGTCTCTTTTTATAAAGAATTCCTTATCTTGCGGGGCGCCTGGGTGGCTCAGTGGGTTGAGCCTCTGCCTTCAGCTCAGGTCATGATCTCAGGGTCCTGGGATCAAGCCGCGCATCGGGCTCCCTGCTCGGCGGGGAGCCTGCTTCCTCCTCTCTCTCTCTCTCTCTGCCTGCCTCTCTGCCTTTGTGATTTCTGTCAAATAAATAAATCTTAAAAAAAAAAAAAAAGAATTCCTTATCTTGCCAAATGGATTCACCATGCAACTGGCCACCAAATTAGAAAGATAGGAGACATGATAAACTCCCTCTTTCTTACTCCTGACTCCCAATTTGTCACCAAGCCTTGTGATTCTCCTACCCAGTGTCTTCTCAATCTATCTCTCTCTGTTCCATCCCAATTCAGGCTCTCATCACTTTTATTTTTAAAACTTGTAATACTACCATAGTCATCTAACAGGCCCCCAGTCTCCTCTCCCTCCATTTTTCTTCTCCTACCAATGACTTTCTACACTTGATCTTAGCCAAAAGGCTAAGAGGCGATTACCAATGACTTTCTTAAAAGCAAAAAGTGAGGGCGCCTGGGTGGCTCAGTGGGTTGGGCCGCTGCCTTCGGCTCAGGTCATGATCTCAGGGTCTTGGGATCGAGTCCCGCATCGGGCTCTCTGCTCAGCAGGGAGCCTGCTTCCCTCTCTCTCTCTCTCTGCCTGCCTCTCTGTCTACTTGTGATCTCTGTCTGTCAAATAAATAAACTAAAAAAAAAAATCTTTAAAAAAAAAAAAGCAAAAAGTGATCATGCCACTTCATCGGCATAAAATCTATCAATGGCTTTCCACCGCTGTTAGGATACAGCTTGAACTCTTTGACCTACCACACAAAGTCTTTGATTATTTGCCTCCTTTCGACCATCAATATTGACCCCAAATACTTGTAGTTCCAGAAAATGCCATGACTTTTGCTGGTTTCCTCCACCCTTTCCTTCCACACCCTTCAAATCTCAAAACAGACATAACCTCCTCCAGGAAGTTTTCCGTGATGCCCAATGTCCCTGAAGTTAAATGCCCTTTGCTGTGTTCCCACAGCACCTCCGTAATAGTTCTCACTGCGCTGTACTGTAACTGTTGGTTTAGATGTCTAGCTCCTCCCGACCGTGACCTTCTAATTCGTCCATTTTTCTCTCAGCATGTGGTTTTGTACCTGGCACAGAGTAGGTCTTCAGAAGACATCTGACGAATAAACGATTGAATAAAAGAAGTGTTACTGCACTATGGTAGTCTTTAGAGAAAGAACATCGGGGCATCAGAGACACCGGCACCTCGCTCCAGGGAGCCTAGAACCGTGCGCTCAGGTGCACAGCGCACCCAGGTCCCGTCATTCTCCCCGCCGGCCTCTGGGGGCGCTGTGTGTCCGGCTCCCGCTGGCCACCGCCGGAATTGGTCACGCCGGACGGAAGCTGGGGGGGTGGAGGGCGGGGCCGGACGGAGCCTGGAAGGACCCCGGAGGAAAAGCGGAGTCTTTGTGGCTGTGCTGCCCCTCCCCTGGTCCAGGCGCGCCTGGAGGGGCCCGGCCGGGGTGCTGCAAGGGCTTCGGGAGGTACGGAGCTGGGAGGCCACTGCGTCCGCGCCCCCTTAGGTAGCGGGCCTCTGTCTCCGATTCCCTCGGGGGGAAATCGGTGGCGGAAGCCCTCTGGCGGTCTCTCTTAGGGGTGTCCCTTGGTTGCGGGCCCCGCAGGCGGGAGGAAGGATCTGTATCAGGATTTTACTTGACAGATCTCTGTTTGGGACATCTTTCGGGAACACATCTGTATCTGTTCTCTCGGGCAGTCTTGGTCGGGGGTTCCTTCTTGGAAGCCTGTGTTTGGGATGCCTTCGACGAGATCTGTCTCTGGGACCTCTTCGGAGAAGGGGTTTCTGTGTCTGAGCCTTCTCATTCTGCTTTGTCAGTCCAAGGGCAGCACATATTTTCCCCTTTCCAAAGCCTTTTCCCCTTAGATTCTTTCACTCTTTTCTTTCCTGTCTGATGTTCATCTTAGCCATTGACTTGACTGGGAATTAGAATTAACTGCTGTCCAGGTAAATCATACAAGAAGGCAAAATACTCTCCTTATTTGCTCACTCTCCCTAGGAAGAGTGGCTTGAGACAGATCCACACGGAATAGCATTCCTGCTTATTTCTCCATGGAGTCATGGTTCAAGACCGGAAGCTGAGCCAGCGCTCCCTTCAGCAACTGGTCTTCCACATCCTGTGCACAGAAGGGAGCCTGGGCAGTGGCTCCTTTAAACCAGAGACTCTTCTTTCTTTATGGCAGCATCTACCGACAACCTGCCCTGAGCCAGTTACTGGCCCTGTACTGCTTATAACAAAGATGAATAAATTATAGCTCACTGTCCATTAGTGGACATAGACCTATCATTCCAGTACACCCTGACCCTAGGAGGGGACAGACGTTGCTCAATCCCTGAGGCCATGTATTCTGTGCAGATCCTGGGCTCTTGGTTACGGGAGATCTGCCCTGTTTTCATTCCACCTCACCAAGTATGCTTCTGCTTTTCAAGGTTGAAGGCTAAGCATGGGGAAGAGCTGCAAGGTAGTCGTGTGTGGCCAGGCATCTGTGGGCAAAACTTCAATCCTGGAGCAGCTTCTGTATGGGAACCATGTAGTAGGTGAGTGTTGTTGGGGGTGGGGGAATGGTGGAAGCAGTTGAAGAATAAGTAGGATTTGATCACAACACGAAAAGGCTAAAAGCTGCTGGTAGTGGTTATTACACCTCACAGAGTAAAATCTGCATAATGACCCCAACCCTAGCATATTGAAATCCAAAGAGAGGAAACCCAATACTTGAGACAGGGAGGAAAAGTTCTCAAGTCACACTTTTGCTTAGCATGGGATTAGCATGAGGTTAATGTCTGTTTCCTGCTTCCCACCCCCCCCAAGTCATCCAGTCCTGCTGGACTGTCCATCCCCTTCTCTCTCGGGCTGGTTAAGCTCGTTAGGATATACTCAGTCCCTCATATTTTCCATCTGCCTTCTCTCTACAAACAACTTTTCTCTTCATCTTATCCCAGGTTCTGAGATGATTGAGACCCAGGAAGACATCTACGTGGGCTCCATTGAGACCGACCGGGGTGTGAGGGAGCAGGTGCGTTTCTACGACACCCGGGGGCTCCGAGATGGGGCTGAGCTGCCCCGGCACTGCTTCTCCTGCACTGACGGCTATGTCCTGGTCTACAGCACGGACAGCCGAGAGTCCTTTCAGCGTGTAGAGCTGCTCAAGAAGGAGATCGACAAATCCAAGGACAAGAAGGAGGTGTGTGAAGGGGTGGGGGACACTGGTGATGAGCAGGAGTGGACCCTGGGCTGGCTTTGGGGGGCCTGGCATGGCTCTGATTTTCATTCGTATCCCAGGAGGTGGGGTGGGAGCTAGATGGGGGATGGATGGAGGCCACGGGAGGCGGTCTTCCCCCTGGAGGCAGCCATGTGCTGAGGCAGCTTGACCAGAGAGGCTTTCCTTTAGTTTCGGGGGTTCCTGACCTAACCCTAGAAGCCCCCACTAATCTTTCTTGAAGACGCTTCCTTGCTCTTAGCTGTGAAGGCCTTTCTGTTCCCAAATCCCCCTATAAGCTGTAGGAATTTAGGGGATGCTCCCTTACCAGGTGTTTAGACAGACAGAGTGATTGCTTATAATGGGCAGGCATAGGAGATAGAGGGCTTGTAAGGGAACTCCTGGAGGGAGGGTAAATGAGGCCAGAATTTCAGTGGAGGAAGGAGAGGACAAAGCAACCATCTCCCTCTCTCTCGTCATTGTTTCTGATCTAGGAAAAGGTGAAACATTAGCCAGTGAGACTTCTGCGCGTCTTAGGACTCCTAGGTAGATGTCTGCCGCCACCCCCAGGCCTGAGGTCCACGGTACAACCTCAGGTCTCTACTCTGTCCATCTTCCCAAGGTCACCATCGTGGTCCTGGGCAACAAGTGTGACCTGCAGGAGCAGCGGCGTGTCGACCCAGATGTGGCTCAGCACTGGGCCAAGTCCGAGAAGGTGAAGCTGTGGGAGGTGTCCGTGGCCGACCGCCGCTCCCTGCTGGAGCCCTTCGTCTACCTGGCCAGCAAGATGACCCAGCCCCAGAGCAAGTCTGCTTTTCCCCTCAGCCGCAAGAACAAGGGCAGCGGCTCCTTGGATGGCTGAAGAGCCGCCATCCCTTCTCCACCTTTCCAGCCTCATTCCAGCTGCTGGGACTCTGGAAGATGTGTCCAGGGGTGGGGTTAGGCAAAGCTGTCCTTCCCGGGCCAGGCAGCTGGGCTCTCCCAGGCTCAGGTCACTTTCGCTCCCTCTCAGCTCGGGGAAGTGCAGATAATCTAGGCTAGTCCCCCCACCGCAAGCCCCCTCCTGTCCAGCATTCATCATCCCTGTGCTGCTGTGACCTGGGGCAGTTGTGGGTCAGTGTCCCCTACCACATGCCCTGGGTGGGAAGCAGAGCTGCCATGCAGAAGTGCCCAGTCCAGGCTCTGGTTCCAGTCACGGGGTCCCCTCACCTGTGGGTTTCCTGCTAGGGACAGGCACACACACATGCGCACACACTCACACTTAACGGCACCAGCCTGGACTCTGGAGAAAGGCGTATGTGTGTGTAGATGTGTGCATGCGTGTGCCTGCTGGAGTCCAGCTCTGACTATCCTCTCCCTGGCTGGAAGAAGCCAGCCTCCTGGGAGGTGTAATCTTCCGCTTTCACTCTCCCCCCACCCCCCCAGTTGTTTTGCTTCCTCTTCCTGCTCAGGGAGCTCATGGCCCCTGTTGGCTGAGATGGGATGGAATGATGGCTGGGCTTCACCAGCGGGCTTTGGGAGCCTGCAAGGACTTTCCCCTCTCTGGGTTTCAGTTTTCTCATCTGTAAGGTGATGGGAGTTGCTTAGATGATCTTCTGGATCCTCTCCAGCCCTCAGATTTTATCATGCCTGTGGCTTGGGGCTGGCCGTTACTGTGCCCTTGGCTTCTCCCTCTTCAAGGTGCTATGCCTCCTGGCCCTGGAGGCTGAGACACTGCTCCCCCCAACCACCAGGGGGCAGCAGTGCCGTGGCCATCCAGTGTCCAGTCCGCGGACCTCACACCGGTGGGGCCTGGTCTTCACCCCTTCCTGTGGTTGTTTTCAGCTCAGAGCTGGACTTCTATTTATGAATTACTTGTGTTTCTCTGCCTGCTGCCATGGTGAAGATTGGACAAGGTGCTCCTCCAGCCCCTCCTTACCTCAGATGCCTGAACAGAACAAGGCAAACCAGTAGCAGCTTCTCAGGAGCTGACAGATCTGTTGGGACTCGGAAGGGTGGTTACACTTGTCACCCACAACTTCCTGTGTCCACGTCATGCTCCTCGTGTGCACACCCAGCATAGCTGAGACACGGGAGCCAGTGACCTCTAGTACACGCCCCTTCTCCCCAAGATGGGAGAGGTGAGGTAGGGCATATACAGACTCGGGCTTAAATTCATTTATTGATGCAGTGGACACAATAAAATCACAACTGTTATCAAAAAGTTTCCCTCCCCTCCCCCCTTCTTGTCCTCCCATTGGAAACATCTAAAAAAAAAAAAAAAAAGAACAGATAACGGGTGGAGACCGGTAAAGTCCCATATTGTGGGGTGAAGGAGCAGAGCTGGGGGCGGGATGGAGGTTGTGACATTGACTTTGACAGCACAAAAATGGTTCTTGAGAGTATGTCATCCTGGATCCCAACGCTCAGCTTCACAGTGAGGGGGCTGGGTGCTGGCTGGAAGGAGGGGAAGCTGGATTTAGTGTTAGGGACCAGTTTGGGGTGAGGAGCTAGAGGGGAAGGCTCTTTGGGAGCCTTGAGGTGGGAGGGGTTGTGTTTGCTGGGTCCGGAGTCTGAGACCTAGTGCTCTCCCCACCCAGCTGGGGTTCACAAGGATTCGATAAAAGGCTGAGGAGAGCTTGTGTGGGGTTGATCACCTCTGTTAAAACTGGACCCTGCCAGAAAATCACCCTCACCTACCCCTCTCGTAGCCACATCTTGTCAGAGGAGCCCCAAAAGCTTTCAGCCCCAGCTTCATCTTGGCTTTGCCCCCCACTCAACACTGCTCCCTTTCTCCACAGTCTTCTTCCACTCCCCCAGGGTCACCTTGTCCAGATGGCCTTGAACCCTCTCCAGCTTGAGACCCTATCTGCCACTTCCAGTGATTCCCTGGAGAATCCTGTGAAGAGACGGTCTCCCCCACAGGCTTGACCCCAGGCTCAAAGTTAAGATTACTAGGGCCTCTGGCCATGGGGGTATAGGTCTTGAGTCGGGGAGACGAGAGCACCATGGGGCTGGGGCTAGGATTTTGCATAGATCTTTGGGATTTCTCAGTTTGCTCCCCATTAATTAGGCTGGGCAACGCAGGGGAACCCAGCACTAGTCTGAGAAGGCTGGGAAAAGGAGGGTGGGGACGGAAGGTCCTTGGGCCAGGAGGTCCTAATCCAAACTGGGTAAAGGGCATGTACCCTTGAAACTAGCCCGGCTCTTCCTAGATGGGACAGGAAGCCCTCAGCTGTAAAAGGCAATCTCCTGGGGGATGGAGGAAACAGGCATCTCGGGAAGAGGAGGCAGGGGACAGCAACTGCTGTAAAATGGGCCCTGGCTCCCCCAGGAAGCCTAGTAGGGGGGCGAAGACGATGGGCCCTGTGGCAGGGCGGACGGCTCCTGCTGGGGTACGAAACAGAGCTGGGCCCAGGATGGGAGCTGGGAAGAGGGTGGTAGCTGCTGTGGGGGCAGGCCGGAGGGCCAGGGGCCCCGGCAGGGCACAGATGGCGGCGGCCGCGGCGGGGATGGGGCTGGGCAGGAAGCGAGCCGCCAGCGTCTTGGTGAGTTGCTTCTGCAAGGCCAGTTTTGACTGCAGAGAGGAGACAGAGGAATGGACACAGTCTGACCCAGGAAAATCCACCCCCCCACCCCGGGTGCCATCCTTGTGTCTTTCTGCTGCAGGAAAGACGTGCCTTTTAGGGTTCCAAGCCTAAGTCCTCCCCACCCCCAAAAACTCATTCCAAAGGGCTTTCTCCACCACCTGTCTTCCTGCCCAGAGGAAGGAGCCAGTGGGGGGTGGGGGCAGAGATGGTCTCTAGGAGATGCACGCCCAACCCTCGCTCTTGACCCTGAGATTACTATCTCGGCCCACCTCGTCGGAAATTCCTCAGGCAGATCCCAAGATGGCCGGGAACCCCAGCCCAGCATTCCCTCACCCCAGGCAGTCTTGTAGGGGGTGTGAGGGGGTGGCTTCCTTCCTGCCCCCCCCCACCCTAGTCCCCAGCTTGCCCTTCTGGCCCACCCTCTCCCCGCAGGCCCCGGGGCCCAGCCCTGTTGCCTGAAGACAGATACCTTGAGGATACTCACAGCCAGCGCTGCATGTTTCTGCAGCTTGCTGTGCTGGCTGGACGGCTTGGGGGGCTTCCCAGCCAGGCGGTCTTTGTGCCTCCTGCTGCTCAGGTGCTAACAGACAAACAGACAGACTGGCAACAGGATGAGGAAGCCCAAGGACCTCCCCACACTACCCAATCATCCTCAACAAGCTAACCCTCCACCCATGAGCCACACGTCAGACATACATTTATGGAGTGTCACCCTGGGAAGGGGAGGTGAGATTTGGCCTTTGCCCACCAGGATCCCACCGTCCCTCCAGTCTTGAGCTCCTCTTCCTCCGCTGGCTCCCTCCCCGCACCCAGCACCAGTCCCACCCCCTCAGCCCTGCTCCAGCCCCTGCCCCAGTCTTGGCCTCGCTTCTCCCACCTGCTTGAGTTGGGTCTCTGAATTGACCTGGAGCTGACACAGAGCACAGTGAAAAGGGGGGCTGGGCCCCTGTCGGACCCCCTGACCCCCTGCCACTCTCTTGGCCTTGTGTCCAGCTCCCCGGGGCACTGGGCGGCCTCGGCCCCTTCGGGGAGCACCTCGTTGACCTTCCACCATCCACCGGTGCTTGGCTCCTGAGGGAGGAGGGAAGACAGCCCATCAGCTCCAAAGAGGGGCTGCAAGGGCCATGAGAAACCCTCCGAACTAGATCGGTCTGGCTGCCCTGCCAAGCCTGCAGGCTGCTCCTCAAGTGCTCCCCTGCACCTCAGCCACCCGAGAGTTCTCATCCCCACCTCTGCAAGATCCTCCCAGCTTCCGTAGTTTCCACCAGCCACCCCCCTACCCCCAGGCCTTCTTGCAGTGGAACTGTCTGGCTTCCCGTTGCTCTCATCTCCTGCCTTCCGTCTGGGTCTGACCTAAGGACAGATGGAGGAGGTGTTTCCGGCCTCCTCCCGAGACTTGTCTTCCCAATTCTCCCGCCCCACACATCAGCTGGAGGACCCAGAATGTCCACCCAATCACAGCTGACCACAACACCTGTGTCACCAAGCCCTTGAGCAAAATGCCCAGAAACTCCAGCCTGCCTGCTGCTGGGGAGGGCTGTCTGCCTGCCCCTCTCTTCCCCTAGACTCCAGTGCACTGACCTGTGTTATGAGCCTGAAGCTGGGAGGCAGAGTTCACGGTCACCTTGCACGTGGGGCAATAGAGGTGCCCCTTCTCGATCCTGCTCTCCCCTCTCACACCGCTTCCCACAGCCCCTGCTGCTGGCTCAGGTCCTGGTGCCTCTCTCCCAGGCTCTGGGGAGCAGGGTAGACAAGAGGAAGAAGAGGAAGAGGAGGCAGCATCCAAGAGGTCTGAGTTGGCCAGCTCCCTGGGTTTGGGGTCCGGAGTCAGCAGTGGCTGGAGTTGGGGGCCAGGAGGAGGGGCCGCAGGAACTGCTGGGGAGATAGAAGGCATCGGTTAAGAATCATCTTGAGACCACGATTTTAAGTAGTGATAAATTAAGGGTGGCATGGCAGAGGGGAAGGGTCCCTGATGTAGGAATGAGCAGCAGTGAAATCCAGACTCCACTCTCCCACTAACTCACTGGGCCAACTTGGGCCTCTTTGGGGCTCAGCTTCCCATTTGAAAATATGAAGTTGGACAGAGGGGTCTCAGAAAGCCCTCACAGCCCTGATACTCTAACCTAGAGTTATTAGCTAACTGTTAAATAACTGGAAGTCACAAAAAAGGTGCACTGCGATATTCATAGAGCACTATTCGTAATAGTGTAAAACTGGAGACTATCCAGGACGCCTGAGTGGCTCAGCTGGTTGAGCATCTGCCTTCAGCTCAGGTCGTGATCTCAGGGTCCTGGGATCGAGCCCCGCATTCTGCTCCACACTTAGTGGGGAGTCTGCTTCTCCCTGTCCCTCTGCCCCTACCCCTCGCTCATGCTCTTTCTCTTTCTCTCAAATAAATAGAATCTTAAAAAAAAAAAAAAAAAAAAAAAAGACAAAACTGGAAATTATCCAAATGTCCACAACAGGAGAGTGGATTTAAAAAAAAAAAAAAGAGTCATATGGTCACATGAGAGAGCACTACACAGCTACACGCAACACTGAAAAGGCCAGGCACCAAACCTCCGTACTACAGGATTCACCAAAACCAAGGGCAACTGATCAATGGCATGAAAAGTCAAGATCACTTAGGGGAGGGATGGAGGTAGTTGACTAATGTTGCCCCCAGATTCACGTCTGCCTGAAACCTCAGAATGTGATCTTATGTGGAACCAGTGTCTTCGCAGATGTAAGTAGTTAAGATGAGATCATAGGACAGGGGTGGGCCCTAATCCAATGACTGGTGTCCTTAAAAGAAGACCATGTGGAAATAAAATAGGATAAAAACAGAGAGGGAGACAAACCGCAAGAGACTCTTACCCCTAGGAAACAAACAGGGTTGCGGGAGGAGGGGGGGGGGGGATGGGGTAACTAGGTGATGGCATTAAGCAGACGACGTGATATAATGAGCACTGGGTGTTCTATGCAAACGATGAATCACTAAATTCTACCCAGAAATCAGTAATATGCAGTATGTTAACTAACTTGAATTTAAACAAAACAAGACCATGTGAAGACACAGAGACACGAGGAGAACGTGATGTGAAGACAGAGGCAGAGACTGGAGGGATGAATCTATAAGCCAAGGAATGCCAAGGATGGCCAGCAACCACCAGAAGCTGGATGAGAAGCATGGGTTGGATTCTCCATCTGAGCCCCCACGAAGGAACCAACCCCGTCGACACCTTGATTTCAAACTTCTCATCTCCAGAACGGTGAGAAAATGTCTGTTCTTTTCAGCCACCCACTGTGTGGTCATTCACTGTGGTAGTCCTGGGAAGCTAACACAACAAGGCAGTGACTGGGGGGGGTGGGGGGTGGGAGGGGAACGACTAGGAGGGCTTCAGGGTGCTGGTGCCATGTTTCTTGATCTCAGTATATTCAGACTGGGAAGGCTCACAGCACTTGTGATGTGTGCCTTTTTCTGTATGTATGGGCTACCCCAACACTGGCAAAAATAATAACCAGAAATCTCCCAACCCCACACCAGAAACCAGGTTTGGATTGGGGAGTGGGGAGGGGAGGGAGGAGAGTTCAGGATTGGGGGCGCCTGGGTGACTCAGTCATTGTCTGTCTTCAGCTCAGGTCATGCATGATCCCAGGGTCCCAGGTATGGAATCCCGCAGCAGGCTCCCTGCTCAGCGGGAAGCCTGCTTCTCCCTCTCCCACTCCCCCTGCTTGTGTTTCCTCTCTCGCTGTGTCTCTCTCTGTCAAATAAACAAATAAGATCTTTAAAAAAAAAAAAAAAAAGAGAGAGAGAGAGAGAGATTTCAGAACTGACCTTTGCTCTGCGGCTCTCCAGGGGATCCACTGGCTGGAGTCGGGGTTGGGGACACCAGCACCCCATCCCGGGCCAGGGTTTGTGGCCTCTGCTTGCTCTTGGCAGCTTCAACAGCCTTGAGTTTTCTGGCGTGTTTGTGGCCTTTGTAATGTGCTTCAGCTTGGTTCTGGGGAGTGGAGGGCTTGGGGTCACCATTTATTTGCTGAGTCTGCATGCCCCCTCCATGAGCTGGCACAAGGCGGGGGGGGGGGGGGGGGCGCGGGGGGGGGGGGCCCCAGCCAGACAAGAGGGCAGTCCTTGTCATCATAGCATGCGTGTGGCCCTGAGGTTTACAGAATTCCTTCTCATACCTGAGCCCCCAGGCAAAAAGCCTATGGCTTCAAATTCTGCCTCAGCCACTCATTAGCTGTGCGTCTCTGGGCAAGTCGTCTCACCTCTCTGAGCCTCAGTTTGCTGACTCATAAACTTTGTGACAATACTGACCTCACAGGGTTGTGGGAATTAAAAAGAACATGAAAGGCACCTGGGTGGCTCAGCCGGTTAAGCAGCTGACTCCTGATTTTGGCTCAGGTCATGAACTCAGGGTTGTGAGATGGAACACCCCGTTGGGCTCCACGGTCAGCCTAGAGTCTGCTTGAGGTCCTTCCTCCCTCTGCCCCTCCCCCTGCTCTATTTTCTCCATTTGTGCATTTATGAACTTGGTAACTAACATCTGTTGAGCAACTGCTGTATGTACTAGGCCCTTGTCATTCATGTGCTGTTTATTTTTATTTTTTTCATTTTTAAAAAAGATTTTATTTATTTGAGAGAGAGAGCAGTTCTCATACTTGGGGGATGTACACGCTGAACATTCATCCCTATGTTCATTTTTTTCAGCAAATCATTTTTGAGCATTTGCTCTTTGCCAGGGGCCCAGCATGGAGAAGACATGGTCCCTCCCTCAGAGTGAAGTCTTTCTGTCGATCTCTTACAAGACTCATATAACCTAAAAACCTGGAGGGAGCCCCTGAATCTGGCCTGTTGGTGTCCTTCCTCCTTCAACCAGGGGTCCCTGCTTATTGCTCCCAAGTGTAGGAAAGACGGGCCCCTGTGGCCCCTCCCTAGACCCTTTCACCAGAGCAGATCTCCCAAGCCCCAGAATCATCCAGACAGAAGGTAAATATTCCTTGGGAGGCCAGGATGAGGCTTCTGCACCATCTGGGGGTAGGCTATGGTAGAAAGCATGCGGGCCTTGGGGTCAGCCAGGCCTGGGTTCAAATCCCAGCTCTGCTACTCACTAGCTGTATGGCCTCAGGCAAGTCACTTAACCTCTCTGAGGTTGTTTCCTCATGTGAAAAGTGGGGATGATAATAGCACTTCTCTCCATCTCACGAAGTATCAAGAGAACTAATTAAGATGCTGGGAATGGACATATTCAACACATCAATTCTCCTGTGCTTTAAGAGTTCAGCTCCAGACCAGGAACTGATAGGAGCTCTTGGGACACAGAGCAGGAAAAGGCAGTCTTTTCTCTTGCAGAAGGATCCAGAACACAGGAGAGAAGCAAAGCGGAGGAAAATAGAGACTCCAGGGCCATTAGAGGTAAGGCAGAGGAATTTGGAGAAAGGAGAGGACAGGATGGGTAGAGGACTGGGAGCATGTCTTCTGGGACTTGTTCCGTCCCAGGGATGGAAAACATGGATCCCTGTCCCTTTGCCAGACCTATTCCTCCAGGAAAGTCTCTGGCACCCAGTGTCCAGCCCTCTCCCTGCCCAGTCCCCTCCCCAGCCTGTTTCCACTACTCCCTCTCACCGATGAGTTGAACCTCAGGTGACAGATGTTACAGGAAATGAAGAGCTTCTTCTTCAGAGGGGAGGGGACCCCAAATGTGTGGCTGATGACAGCTTTCTGGATCGGGTCCATCTGTGAAGAAGGTGGGAGGGCACAACAATGCTGGGGTCGGCTGTGAAGGGGAGGCAATACAAAATGCCAAAAACTAATGCCTATCGAGGAGGGCAGGCATCCAGACATAGGAAGAACTTTCCCATCCTTGTGGATAGGAGACACAAAACAAACAGTCTCCTCCCTGGCTGACTTAATCTGTTAGCAGGGGCTTCAGCGTGAAGGGAGAGGGGGATGGCCAAGGAGAAACATTGCCATGTCCCAGTGATCACCTTGGCATCTCTTGCTGCCCCTCTGGTCTCTGGTTTGGTTTTTTTTTTTCCTTATTCACAAGAATCACAACTATTGGGACAGAGTTGGGGCCAGGGAGAAGCAGGGACAGGACAAAGAGTCTCTCTGTTGGAAATCCTCTCCCATAACCCAGCCTTGTGCCGGGCCTGTGGGCTGGGGGAGAGAAGGCTTATCTTTTCAGTTCTGCCACTGTCACAGGGCCTGAGTGGGGGAGTGAGGGCATGGCCAGGGCAGGTGGGGGGCTGGGAAGGGGCAGGTGGCAGCATGTGGAGACCAGACAGTTCCCTGAGTTGTAGGATTATTTTTGTTTTTTTGGTATATTAATTTGTGTAGGTTTTTTTTATTCCCCCTCTTCCTTATTTTAACTTTTTTTTCCTTCTATAAATCCAAGCCTTTGTATTCTCTTTTCTCAGGGGCTGCTTTTTGGACCAAAAGCAGTTGTCTGGGCTTGCTTATCAAGAGGAACTTTCCAGACCTTCCTGAGAGAAGAGAACAGAGGCATTGAGAGAAAAGCATGGTTTCAGAAACTCCCCAGGGAACAGAATGAGGTTCTAACCCTCACCTAACAACACCTGGGGCTGGGGGCAGACAGGGGCCAGGAGCACGGCCTACAGGGTCCCAGAGGTGCAGGCAAGAGAAGATATACCTGCTCCCAAGGGACTGTGAGCATGGTGCCTCAGCAAGTGACAGAGGGTCCCAAAGAACAGGGACCCCCCCCCCAAATGGCTCAGGCTCCCGTGGACCTCTGTGTGACCCTGGAGGTTAGAGAGAAAGGGACTCCTAAGGATGACTGAGGCTGAATTTCCCACCATCTTGTTAGGATGGGCTGGGGCTCCTTGATGGTGACCTTTGATGTTTCAGAATTAAAGAAAGGGGGGTCCTTCTTATAGTGAAGTGAAATTCGTGCTCCCTGCACTTGTCATTCACACACACGCACACTTGGAAATACACAGACACAGAGGGCTACAGGCAGGTGCGAATCCCAGAGCCATGCAAAAAGACTCAGACCCACAGGAGTACCAATGGCACACTTCACAGACACACAATCACCCAAACCCCCCCCACACACACACCAAGAGGTCAGACACACACCAAACATCTACAGAGTCGACACAAAGACACAAAACATCTCTCAGAGACACAGGCACATATATTAATTCCATATAGTCATTAAGGCACAAATAATTGTTTACAAATATACACATATTCCAACACATCCACAACCACAAGTAACACACAAAGACCCACAGAGACATAAATTAAAACAGAAGGGCACACCCCCAATGCACACAGACATACACAGATCATCCACAGACGTCCCTCTACAAAAATTCAAAGTGTGACCTCCGGGCCACAGGCCCAGCATCATTACCGGGGGAGGGAGTGACCCCATCCTCGCTCCTTGTCCTCAGGGAAAGTTGGACCCAGGGGTCCCTGTTTTGGGAGTGCCTAGTCACTCTTGGGGATGTTGCTCCTACTTATACCCAATTTCTAAGAGCCAACCCTCTGTGTCCACCTTCCCCGCCCACCCCGGACTTGCCTGCATGCCCCCACCCACCAGCCCAGCCCGTACCGTGCTGAAGTTGGGGGTGAGACTGAGCGGGGCAGCGCCATTGAAGTGGAAGGCGAGCAAGTGCTTGAAGTCCAGCGGGGGCTGCAGAGGCCTGGCAGGCAGGGGCAGGGAGGCCAGCAGGGGGCTGGGGGCACTGGAGGCTGGGCCTGCTGCAGGAGGAAGAAGGGCAGGGTCTGAAATGGGGAGCCCCAGGGCTCACAGCGACCTCCATGGCCAGAACAAGAGGTTGATGGGCTTCTTGGGTGTGGGGCCGGGGCAGAAACTGTCTTCCTCTTCACAGAGCAGCACTGGGTAAGCCCTGGGCACTCCCAGTCCATTTCTGTGCCTCTCCTCTACACAATGGGGGTGGGGGGAAGGAGCAGGGAGACCACAGTTCTCAGCTCCCAGTCCCCTAGGATGCACTTCCCATCCCCTCCAGAGGCAGTCCCGAAGACCCCCAATGGACCCTCAATGGACCCAAGCAGAGAATCAGGCCAAGGGAGGGGACAGAGGAGTACACACACCCATACACACACACACACACACACACACACCACCACCACCACCACCACCACCACCACCACCACCACCACCATGGAGACCATGTGCTATACCGGGTTTCCTTTATTGCAAGTTAAACTCACACCTGGGAGGCCTGGGGAAAGGCCAGCCCTCTCCCCTCTCACTAACTGCTCCTCTCCTGATCCCTACATCATTCACAGCAGGGACTGACAGAGAGGACAGGAAACCTGTTGGAATCTGAAGGGATGTGTTCCCCTAGCTCTGGTGAGACCCCAACTCCTCCCGGGAGGCAAAAAGCATTCCAACCCCTGGGTCAGGCCAGAGTTGGCCCGTCCAGCCCTGTGGTTTTACAGTCTTTGGTCTTAAAGGTCTGAGGCAAGGGCAGGGGAAGGCTAGGAACTCTGGGGATCAACCAGACTCTGAGAAAGAAAAGAATTAGAAATAAATCCAGTCCATGGGGACTTTTCTGGACCCTGTCACTGAAAAACCGTAAGAAGTCCTTTTAGATTTTTTTTTTTTTTTTGGTTAACAATATGCAAGGTAGGTTTATTTTACATTTATAGAGGTATATGTCTATATACACAGCCATATACAGAAGAGCCTCAGGCAGCCTATCCATGGGCACCACTACCTCCCTTGAACTGGTAGCTTGTGCACAGAGATAGTGCTGTGCTGTGTGTCAAAAACAAGGACAAAAAATCTGCTCTGTAGTTCTATCTGAAGAGAAGAGATGCTGCTAGGAGGGGAGCTAACAGCCGCGATCCCCATCTCCTTTCCCTCAGTCCCTCAATTCCTGAGACCCAGTCCTCCTCTCTCCCTCCAGCAAAGACTCCTCAGTTTTTCTAGGGCCCAAATCTGTGCTGGGTCCAGAGGGAACAAGGTGAGCTACTCCTCACCAAACTCTGACAAGGACAGGAGCAATATTGAGGGAGCACCCAAACCTAGCATCTCTGCAGGCTCTCCCAGCTCCCACCTCAATGCAGCCCTTCCTCCACAGCCTACTGGGCAGGGTTAGTACTCAGCAGAGGAAGCCCGGGACAGGTGGGTGGGAGGCCACAGGCGGTCAGCTGGGTTGCCGCGGGGTCAAATCCACCTCGGGGCCCTAGAGCGCGGACCCCAGGCTGGCAGGGCAGAGAGAAGGCCGCCGCCCTCACGTGAGCCGCGACCCCAGGAACCCCTCTGCCCACCCACTCTCCAAGAACTCCACGGCCAGCGCAAAGTCAAACTCGTGCAGCGGTGGCCCATCCACGGCGATCTTCACCACGGGGCCGCCCCGGCCCTCCCCAGCCCCGCTCTGCCCCCACCACCGCAGCTCCCGGCTGCGGCCCACCTTGTCCAGGAGGCCGGCGCCCGCGGGCAGCGCCAAAGCCAGGGCGGCCAGGGCTGCGAAGTCCGGGAAGAGCTCATGCAGCTCAGAGCGCGCGCACGCCAGCTTGGCACACACGGCCCGCGGGCCCAGCCGCCCCAGGCTGCACACCACGCGCTTGAAGAGAGCGAAATCTCCCAGCGCCCGGTGGCGCACCACGGCGGGAGCGAAGGTGCGCAACAGTACCCGCAGCGCTCCCTCGCCGTGCGCGCCCAGCTCTTCGGGGGCCTCCGGGTAGCCGCGCGGGTCAAAGATCGCTGCGAAGGCGGCCACGGCGTCCAGCGAGGGCCCGGGATAGGAGTCCCCCAGCCCCCTCCGCATGGAGTCCAGGAAGGCCCCCCGCAGCCCTTCCAAGCCCCGCACGGCAGCCTCGGAGTAGCCGACCAGCTCCACGCCGCGGTAGGTGCAGCGCCCGCCGCCCAAGTTGGGGCCGGAGGAAGCCAGCTCCTGCAGGAAGCCCTGGAGGCGCGCCCCACCCGAGCTGCGCTGTGCTTGGAGGGAGGCCGCAGCCGCCATCACCAGGGGCTGCAGCAAGGCCAAGTCCGGCTCTTCTGGCTGCAGGACAAGGGCGAGCTTCTGCACGGTGGGCAGAGTGTCCAGCAGCAGATGGGTGAAGGCCACAAAGGTGAACTGGCGCAGCGCCAGGGCCAGCGCCCTAGCCGTAGGGGAGGTGGGGGCAGAGGCCTCCAGGGTGGGCACCAGACAAGGCCAAGCCTCAGCCACTGCTTCCACGATAGGCAGCAAGGACGCCCAGGGCACTGGCCGTGGTCCTGCCAAGTCAATATCTGCCAGGTCCAGGGCCGCCCGGAGCTCGGGGACCGTGCGGGAACTGGGGCCACCATGGAGGCGGAATAGGGCATCCAGCACGCTTTCATATTCACTTAGGTAGGCAGGGGGTTCGGGATCTGTCCGGCCGGGGAGGCAGTGTAGCTCCGTGAGCAGTGGGCAGGCAGCGCGGAGTTGTGGGCCCACATGCCCAAGGCGGTCCCCGGGGAGGCTCGAGCTGAGCCAGGCCAGCTTGGGTGCAGACACGCCGAAGGCCTGCAGGATGTCCAGGAGTTGGCCAGCAGTGGCCTCACCCTCCTGTAGTTCCACACTGCCCAGGAAGGTGGTAGCCGGCTGGCCATCACAGGGGGACACCGAAGTGGCAAACAAGGCCAGACTGTGGGACTCAGGCCAGTCCCTGGTCTCATCCAACACCAGCCCCACATACGGGGATGCCTTCAGGCGCTGGCAGGCCTCTGTGTGCAAGACACTGGCAATGGCCACCTGGGACAGCCAGAGAGAGAAAGGGAGGGACAGAGTTAGGCTTGTCCTGAGCAGGGGAGGTAGCAGTACAGAAGACAGAAAGGGGATAGGCCTCGGGGACAGACCAACAAACCTATCCTGGCTTGGCTGATTACTGGCTGTGTGACCTTGGGCAAGTCATTTCACCTCTCCAAGCCTCAGTTTTCTCAGCTCTGAAATCAGGCTACTACCTGCCTCTCAGCTCCTTGAAAGGTTGTTGTCAGGGGCACCTGGGTGGCTCAGTGGGTTAAAGCCTCTGCCTTTGGCTCAGGTCATGATCCCAGGATCCTGGAATCGAGCCCCACATCGGGCTCTCTGCTTAGCAGGGAGCTGCTTCCCACTCTCTGCTTGCCTCTCTGCCTACTTGTGATCTCTGTCAAATAAAGAAATCAAATCTTAAAAAAAAAAAAAAGGGTTGACAGTTAAAAATGTATATTTTTGTGACTATGCTTATAAGTGTAAAAATGCTTGAGGAACCATAAAAATTCTGTAGCATTCTGTGTGCGTTTCTACGGCATTGCCCCAGGCCTTATTCCTGGGGGTATCCCTCCACTCTGCTGCTCAGGGATTAACTGATAGACATTGTTCCCTCCCAGTTACATAGAGCCCCAATTGTGTGCTCTGTCATCTCTCTGCAGGATGAGACCTAACTCCCACACCCTCACACCAGTCTCTAGGACTCACACACCTGGTGCCTAGGACAGAGCAGCAACTTGCATGCCCGAGAGGCCTTGTGGGTGGTACTGGGCTTGACCTGGGCCAGGGATACACCAAAGGGAATGGAGAAGCCATGGGTCTAGTCTTCATGTCCTGAGAGCACAGGGACCTAGCTTTTCAGAAGTCACAAATCCACATTTTTATATGTAATCTCTCTGGGTTTGTTTGTTTGTTAACTTGGAAACTAATTGAGGTTTTCCAAAAACACTGTGAAAATCAAAAAAATATGTCTGTGGGCCAGTCAAGCCCCCAGGCTACCCAACTTACAACCTCTGGCCTCAGCCCTCAGGGAAAGCCCTGTGCCCCTCCCTGGGAAAGGGCCAGCTCTGGCCTCTTTGTGGCCATGCCCCCAGCTGCTGGCCCAGGGCCTGACCCAGAGCACGCCTCAGTGAAAGATTCTGCTGGGTGAAGGCATGAATGAAGCTCTCGGGCTGCTGCCCAGGGGCCAGGCATGCTGGCGCTCTGCCCAGACAGCTCGATGTCCTCCCTCCTCATGCCCTCCCCCACACCTCTGGCTGCCACCCACCTGCATGTCCCTCACCCTCCTGGGGCTGTAGCAGTCGCTGTGCTCTGTGCCCAGCAGGGCCTGGCACAGGTTGAACCTCTGCAGCTCGAGCAGGGCAGAGCAGCGGTCATCGGGCACGTCCTCCTTGGCCATGCAGTACACCGTGGTCAGCATGGCCACTTTGGCCGGGTCCACCTCTGCCTTGATGCCCCTGGAGGTGGGGGGGGTCTCCAGGTCCAGGTAGGCCCCTCCTCCCTCGGCTTGGCCCTCCAAAGTGGGCTGGCCCCGGTTGAAGGCCAGAGCCTGGCGGTGGGCCCCCGAGGTCACGTGGCGCAGCAGGGCGTGGCGCTGGAAGTTGTCTGTGCCCACAGTGAAGGCGTTCTCGGCTTTGCCGTGCTTGTTCCGCACTAGGGCTTGGCGGCACTCGAGGCAAAACATCAGCTTCCGCTCGTAGTCGAAGTCCAGCCAGGGAAACTCCTCTTTCCAGTGCTCGTTGAAGTAACGCTTGCACTTCTTGTTGGAGTTGGAGGCCTCTCCGGCGGGTTTCTTCCCTGGGGGAACCATTCCTGCTCCAGGGGCAGGGCACCCCCAACTCCCACCCAAGTGCTCTGGCCCCCAGCCTCCCCTTACACACAGCAGCACCTCCTTATCAATGGAAGTTGGTGGGGAAGGCACGCTGGGCTAATGGGGACCATCCATCTAACTTAGCTGGGAAAGTTTATTCCCACTCTGCCGGTGGAGACTGGAGATGAAAGAGACAAGGGAGAGGT